GGCTTCCCTAGCGAAAATAGCGATGAGTTCAAATTTTCAGGGTAATTCTACGGCTGAAAGTAAGACAAAAATCAAGAATATCGAATTACATGGAAAGCTTCATTCTCGAGAAAAATGCATTTCAAAATCAGTTTAAGTACACGTGTATACTTAACTAATAACCGATGTTACCGATTCCACTATAGAACGTTTCTGTGACTGTTTCTAAGCATTAAACGTGTGATAATTAATGATAATAAAATCTGCCAGGCCTGCTCTATATTTTGTTAGTTCTAAAAGTGTATACGGAACCTCCGTGTCTTCAGACTCGAAACTTTCCAAAGATGTTTAATCAACCTGTGTCATTAAATACCAAACTCTCCATTAAAAACTGTCCCCCAGTGAACGTGTTATTTACGTCTAAAAACTCTTGATAGGTTTGTGTCTACTACCTTTCCATTCCTCGAATCTTCTTTCAATGATACACAACAAAGTATTTATCGTTTGCTACATCAATATACAATGTCAAAAGTTAAATAATTTAAACATAACAACATATTAGGACGTTGCGTTAAGCAGCCATAGCTTCTCTTTCACTCGTCAGGGATTTTAATTGAAACTTTCGATACAAGTTTCTCGTTTATCTCTAAGACTTACGCTTCAGACAATCGTTTACAAAAGGACTCGTATGCGGAACAGAGTTCTCGAGTAACAGAAAGAGAAAAGCAGCAAGTTTTAGAATAAACGTAGGTGCGATAGGGATAACTACTCTAATCTCTCATTTCTAATAGTAATTTCTTATTGTATCTTTAGCACACTCGTTAAGACGATGCGACGATGAATTTGACTATAGCAGACTTTTGTTATATTGCCGTATAAACGACTTTTTTCATTCTTGCACTTCGTGTCATGGATAAAATGAGCATTTACAGCCTCGTCTATGACCATATAACGAGAGTCTACTATGTATATATAATGGAAAATATGCAGATAAAATACAATGGGACAGGTTGAGAATCGCTGATACCTTGAATCGACTATTTTTTCGCCACGTAAATGGTACTTAAAGTTACTCTTCTCCTTTGTTTTTTCGAACGAAATACTGGGACAATGCTGGCTGGTACTCTAAAACTTTAGTCCTAGACTTTGTTGCTTGCATTTCGGGTGGGATGAGGAGGGGGGGAGAGCAAATTTCAGGTACATTTTCAGTCTTTCAATGGTAAACGTGGCTCATTCTCATACATGTCAAATTTGTGAGGATCGTAATTCATTTTCCCTCAATTACTATAAATCCGAAGTTTGGTTGTTCTGGGGTGGGGGGGCCTTTCAGAAGTTTCCCCCCAATTTTTGATAAATAGATTAGCACTAATGCTATCAAGAAGAAGGTACAGTAAATTCTTATTACATATATTGCCATTCCTTATGTTGCTGGTTAAGCGAATTCTTCTTCACACACTTTTCTATGCACACTAATAACGTTTCCTATAGCTTTGTAATCGGCAATATAACGATAGTTTAATGTATTGAAATTTATCTTCAATTGGTTCAAATAATAATTTGCGCTGATTGTTCTGACATTTACTCTTTACTTCTTGGAATGTGAAAATTGCAAACTGTATTTGAGCCAGGTTTACCTATAAATTATTTTATACTTTAAGTTACATTTGTACTATTGACGAATCTATAGAGGGACAAGAGATACATTCTGATTATTTCATTTCAAATACAATAAACGTAGGTAAAGGAATTATTACACCTAAAAGCAGCTAACAATAGTTTTTACTTACAAAATCAAAATCTTCATAACAAATCATAGATAACTGACCAAGTGCTTTTTGTTTTAATCATTGTGTATGTCTTTAAAATAACGACAAAATATTGATGAAGGACACCATTTTTGAATAAATAATCTATAATAATAAATTAATACTTTTTAATCGCCAACTAAAAAACAATTGCCATCTGATATACACAATTATTAATCCATTAATACCCAAAGTTGCATTGGTACAATTATATGTAACATTTTGTTGCGATAGCACAACAGGGGGAGGGGGGTTGACAGGAGGGTCATATAATCCCTTCATTAAGAAATTACAATTATCTTTTGTTTTTAATAAATACCAGGGTATTTACCTTAGTTTTAGAAGATGGTATCGGGAGTAGACCTAATATTATCACGATATCGTTTGACCGCCTTATCAGACAATTATGTTTACACTATTGTTTAACTGTGTCTTTTTGGGTGACAAATTTATTCTGTTTACTATAGGTATGCACACGTTACCCCATGAACAATTAGTTATTAAGTGTAAATGTTTGCTTGGGAAATTTTATTTAATATTTATTTGTAAAATTTGAACATTTAAATTTTGGAATTTGAATTTGGAAATCTGAATTTTGAAATTTCGGAATCTTCAAACTGTAAAATTTAATTTATTCATAATACCTGGTAACTCTTTAATATTATAACAAATAGTAATCCTCCCTCCCCTATATCGCCCTTTTTATGAGAACAGGGATGGCTAACTTCTCCACTGCGAGCTATACACTCCCACCATCAGTTACTTCATTCTTCCACCACTTAAGTTCAGAGATATAAACAAATGCCGTGTAGCTCACGATCACGGTACGAACCAGCACTGCCAGGTATAGTTCCTCAAGGAGAGATTTTTCCCCTTCCCTTACCATCTATATGACATTGGCACTATTAGCCCGTTTGTGCCACCTATACTAATCATTGCTGTGTCCAAATCGAATTAGTATGTATAGCTCTATAAGGCGTCATTACAGATTTATTCTTTTTTCCACCACTACCTTCCCCTTTTATCCCTCGATCTCGTAACGCTGGTAGAAACAGCGGCTTCAAACCTATACTGAGGGTTTCTTAGCGAAACAGACAAGTGGGCGAAAGAGTCATATTACAGTACTTGTTCGCTTAACACTCGCGTCCGGGCTCTAGCGGCTTAAATTTTTAAAAGCCAAGTATTAAATGGACAGCCAATGAAATGCGTACTCTCCCCGTAGTTCGCCCGTCCGATTGGATCGTTACCTCGCTGGGCGGAGAAATAGGATAGCCGTGCATGTGTAAATAATGCGCGTAAATAAGGGGTGTTCCTAACGTGCATTAACCAAGCAGTTATTAAGCGAACGAATATTGTATATGTGTCTCACGGATCATCAGTTAGCCAGGCTTGCCTTAGGAAAATCTACTGTATTCTATACTATTCCATCTTGAAAATAATACATTTCCAACCTATGGAAATTAATGGATCAATGGCAAAATCTTAAAAATAAATTAAAACTAAAAGGCGTTTAACACGTTGGATACCGTGGGGGTCACCGTTGATCGGCATCGCTAATTATATGTGCTCCAATAATTAAAAGAAAACGATAGAAAAATATTATTTTCAATAGTTATATTCTACTAATAATGTAAGGTACCAAATTAAAAGCTGGACATTTGAAATTTAAAAATTAACTATTGCTATTCTTAATAGTTAAAGCTTCGATACGTTTCGTAGCAAATGCTCATTTCCACTGTGGCATTCAACGTGTTAAGGATTCAAAATATACAGCAATCCTCTCTATTGTCCCTGTAATATTAGGATATTCGAATAACAATAAGTAAAATTCATTATCAATAATTAAACCATGTATATGTACCATTTCACATATAAAATGTTTATGCAAAAAGGAAATAAAAATAATTTCTTTTTTGATTTAAGCTTACATGGGAACAAGATTTGCTTAAATGAATCTCTATCCACAGTCTTCGTTTAAAAATAACAAAAATAAAAATAAAATCAACAGTTTGTGAACAAGATCCACTTATACAATAAAACTGTCTTTTTAAATATTACCTTTAACGGGATTTCCTTAATAGATACTTACCTACAATCGTACTCTATTGTGATTCGAATTATTACGTACATTTTTTTTATAGATTGTTATATATATACATGTATATATATATATATTTATGTTGTTTCCAACTATCTATCTTGAATAAGAATGTTTACAATAGTTAAATTATTGAGCTCTCGATTTAACAGTACGATCGCTGTGAGTATATAGGTTAAATTTTCTTAGGACTAGCCTCGAGTACCCGAATTTTAATGGATGATTCCTTTTCATTTCCAACAATTTCAACAATTTTTCAGTGGTTGTAATATTTTATAACACAAAAAACATAGATTTGTAAATAAATAACGGAAATTATAAAGTTAAATAATTTATAATTTTTCATTGCTACTAAAATTCAGCTCATTATTAATTAAATTTAAAAAATTATAATTATATTTCTTAAACTGATAATATCACAAAACCTTTTAAATTATTGATGTTCAAACTTTTCAAAGCTTAAATTTAATAACCTTAGAGGTTAATAATTCCAAAAAATTAAATCTAAAAATTCGAATATTAATAAGTTAATTAAATTCGGACGAATTTAAATTTGGAAGCATTTAAATATTAATGATTGAACGGATTCTTTAATATAAAAAATTTTTAATTTAAACATTAGTAATTCAAACAGTTGGTACACCCTAAACTTTCTATTACTTTTCTTTTAATAAATCAGTAGTCAATTAACTTTTATCAACATTATTTATCACTTAAAATATTTCAACTCGACCCATGTTTACACAATAATAAAGCTGAAATTTTTCAATTAAAAAAACACTGATACACTTTACAATTTCCATCATTATATTCCCATCTTATTTTCATTCCAAATAAAATCTTCACCATATTAATCCACGATCCAATCAATTTTTCCAGTCATAGACAATTATCAGTTTATCAGATTATACTTTATTGTTTTAAGTATAATATATTCAACTTTTCTGCACGATTCACGGGAACAATGAAACGCAATTAAGTTTAGAATAAGTATAAGATTATCTTTCTACATTTTAAAATACCACGAGATGTATCTATTATTACGTGTTACAAGCACAAATTCTCTAATAACGATGGGACAAAATTGTTACTTTATTATTTTACTTTACTTTTAGAGAACTCGATACTGGGGCAGTAACAGTATCGAGGACCCATATATTACTAATCCTAGAAACTGTTTTTTTTTTTTTAAGAACGACGTTTCAATATCTTATCCTTAGACAATAAACTAACTCGTTAATACTACTTTCTTTTCTTCTCGATGTGTGTCTCTTTCTTCCAGTTAATTATTAACAACAAATTTATGTAATTAAGTTCCTACAATTGAAGCTTCGTTTTCAAACGAAGAGCGTTATCAATTTCAAGATATAAGCCAGCTAACGTTAAATATTTGTCATTATAATAGGAATAGACACAAATGGCCGTTAGATAATCGAGATTGCCCACGAGCACCCAGCGGCCCGAAGGGCAATTTCTTGTGCACACTTGCATTTAGACACTTATTATGTACTGGATCAACTAACTAACACTGAACGACAATTAATTCTCATGACAACGAGCTGCTTCTAAACCATTTACATTTTTAATATTTCGTATAACGTTAAAACGATGCACTGTTGGGATTCGAATTAACAAGTATTTTTTATTGTAATTAATATTAAGTAACGTGCGTTGAATAATAAAATTAAAAAATATATATGTTTTTTGGCTTAAGAATTGATATTTTCATTCACGCGCTGAATTGTTTAAAAAAGTAAAAAATTTGTATAATATTAAAATTAAAGAATTACTATTTATTTTATGGTATTAAAGAATTTTGTGATCAGTGGGAGCGGTCAATGGGCTCACGGTTGACTGGCACCCTCAGAGCACATCTTTCCATTTAATACATTTTTATATTTTTCTGACTAAAAAAATTGTTTCCTGAGGTGCATGTCATAGTATTGAATAGAGAAACATATTGAATTATTTTAAATTACGATTTACCGTTCAGCAACATAGATTCCTACAATCTTTTTAATTTTGTTTCTTTCAGTTAAAATCTAATACGTATTTTGAACAAATAAATCTAGAAGAAAATGAAATACAATTTCACGTGTATTTATATTGTTGCTAAAGGGATAAAAGTGGCGAGAATTTTGTTTTATATTAGTATTAGTTTGAATGCACTGAATTATTGATTCAACATTTTTCTTCATTTCATCTTTAAACAACTCGACCTACCTCTCCTTCAGATTTCATTCAAAAGCAGTTTATTCAATTTTAAAAACTGAAGGGAAAAAAATGTAAATGAATCGAAAGTCATCCTTAAGAATTCGGGCACTCGGACTTACAAGTAAAGTGAAGTAAAATAGAAATTGAATCGTGAATGCTTAAGCGTAAAATGTAAGTTTAGTACCGATGCCAAGTTATAAGTAACCTAATGTCGCATAGGTTTTCACGTAAGGTGCATCCACTCTACAGTTTTCCCTGAAACAAACCATTAAAATAATATTTTACAAGAGAATCTTAGAATTTTATAATTTTAGAACCTCAGAATTCTGGACCGAAAGTTTTAGAATTTTGAAATCTTTGAATTTCAGAGCTTTGGAATTTAGAAATGCCGGAATCATAATATTCTTGAATAAGAATTTTGAAATTTTGAAATTGTGGAATTTGGGGATTTTCGAATTTTTGAACGATGAAATACTAAAATTCTAAAATTTTAGTATTGTAGAATTCTAGAATTTCAGATTTCAGATTCTTTGAGTTTTAACATTTCAGAATCTCAAAATTTTAAAATGGTTAGGAGCTCAGTGCTTGGAGGGGGGGGGGGGGGGGGGGGGGGGGGGGGGTAATGGCTACTCTGGCCCTTACCTATTGTAGTTACGCCAGTGGATAATGAGAACAGAGTGCGTGAGTGAGCTGAATTCAGACTGCACAAATAAATGTTTAGAGCAGGCATGCATAACAAGTAGTAAAATGGGTACCGATATCCGAGATTACCCGCGTACATAGTAACGGGCACAGACTCGAACCAGTTGTTTAAGAGTGAATAGCCCACAGTAAAGTACCGGCCCCGCGATAACGCGGAATTTTCAGTCTATCATTTGACCGCCGAGCCCATGATATTATTAATGTGTGTGCACATTTCGGTTTTGTTGCACCTTTGAGTTTTGTTAAAGTGTAGATTTCGAATATTCAATCAAAATATCCTATTTTACGAAAATGTATAACATTTTTAATATTTTCTTTAGCTAATCATTTTTCAGAGACAATCGGCGTGCAATATGTTAAGAAAAGTACGTGGACTTCGAAACACCCGTAAGGCGACTTCTGCTCTATCAAAATGAAATCTTAGAACCTAATCACCGTATGGGAACTTGAGTGTTACCATTACCAAAACAGCATCGTGTCCTAATGCAGTGATGGGCAACAGTGACCACGTGGACGATTACTGATGAGCAATCAGTTTCTTAATTTGAAAATTTTTAATTCCTATAATTTTCAAATTTGTATATCCCTAAATCGAAAAATTTGGAAATTTGAGAGTTAAAAAGTCTGCAAATTAAAAATTTCTGAATTATTATTGAATTCCCCCCTCGCCCTCCATTTTGAAAAACTTTACTTTTTTTTCAATCAATAAAAGCGCCTATTTATTATGTACTCAACGATGTATTATAGTGTATAGTTGTTTTAATTATTCCGATGGAATTTTTGATTTAAGTTTTTTGATCTGTCTGTATTGACCGCTAACTCAGTAAGACCGCTAAAAAAGTAAAGTTTTTCAAAACGGAGGGGAAGGGGGAATTCAATTTTGCAAAAAGGATGATTTAAAAAAAAAAACTTACACGCAGCTTTATAGACTATTTTTTTATATCTTTTGTTGTTTACGATTTATAAGCACGTATATAGAAATGGCGGTTCGGATAAAAGGGTTGATATCTCCCTCAAAGTGAAAAACGGACACCAACGAATTACAGTTATCTTCATAAACAGGTCTAATAAATATTTATGCAAAGTTTCATCAAAATCGGAGTGTATCAGTCCCCGATGTTCCCTTGTGAGCTGACACTCAGTCCTTATCATGTTAACCCTTGAAAGACCGGAGGAAAAGGAGCTTCTCGAGCCTACTATTCATAAAACATTGGTCTACGTTCTATTTATATTGTTGGCCATAAAAAATTACTTATATCCTTATAATACTTGACCAAAAACATGACAAACTTAGGTGGGTTCAGCAAACGTAACGGCTTTTACGTAACGGCTCGAGCCTTGGTCTTTACAGGGTTAATACATAAAAAAGAGTTATACTTACTCATCTTCCCACGGGCACACTTCGTTAACGTTATTGTCACGCTTTTGCTGAGGTGTTGTCTCACTAGTAGGTGCCATTTGATCGTCCTGTTGGGTGTCCGGTTCCCAGACAGGAACGACTTGTGCCTCTTCCACCGATTCCTTCATCTCCATTTCCGCTTGACTTGAAATTGCAGAGCTTTCTTCTGTAGGAATTACTGGATCGCTTTCCTCAGCTTCCGGTTCTTGCTTTTTCTCTTCTTCCGTCTCCTCCACTATGCCCTCATCATTCGCTGTTTCTTCGGGCTCGATGATTGAGCTGTCGCTCGGCAAATCACCCACAATGGCGCTGATGCTTATCAAAGGAGCTTTGGTCGCACCTTTAGTCACAGATTCCTTTTCAAACAGCGAAACCTTTGATCTGGTTGGCTGAGCTTCAAGCACCTCGGTTACGCTTTTCGTGGATGTGTCTGCTCGTTCGGTAGCCACGTGAGAATACTCGAATGAGTGCTGCGGTGACGGATAATTGCAGAACGAAGTGGATGGCCTGCCGATCTCTGCCAGCTTCACTCTCGCGCTGGTGGATCCGATTGAGTAATTTCGCACTGTCATTGCACTCAGGCGTTCAGTCGTTGTCGTGCCAGCTACAAGTCATTAAAATACTTTATTTTCACAGTTATACAGATATTTTATTTGTAACGTTCAAATATTATTGCCAAAGATATTGTAATAATACACACTTTATTTCCTTCATAAAGGAATTCATAAACGACGTTGCTTATAGTAATATTGTAAAATTACAATTAAAAATAAATTTACTTTGGCATATATCGTGGTTTCTTGAATTATAATATCTATCGTTTCTCAGTTCACTTTCATTGTCAAAAACTATTTGAAGTATACATATACAGTATACTCTCGTTATATTGCCGCGGACGGGGCTGTTAGAGCGGAAAAGTCAAGCTTAAAAATTCCTATTTGGAAGGGGGGAATACAGATAGAAATGTATATATTATCCACATAAGTTATAATAATGGAAGAGCGGCACTAGTATGTTTAGAAATTCGTGTGAAGATTTCGTCATTCTTGATTTTCGACTTATTTTCATCCCTAGAATCACCCCTTAAAAAATCTCCCACCTGTTGTCGAACACCCTGTACATCAGGACAGCATAAATCAGGACATGAACACAAACAGTACTACTCTCCGGGCTTCGTTATGTGCTTACTTCAGATCCGATAAATATTTACCTGTGCTAGCACTATGTTGCAAACTACAAGATTTCCGAAGATGTTCAGTGACTTCTGCCACCGCTAAACTGACGTCAGACGAAGAACTACAGGAATCCAACTGCGTGGAGTTTTTCCGGGATGGGCGTGCAAATTCGATGGATTGCGACTGCCCGTGTAAATTGCTTCTACCCTCTTCAAGTTGGCTTTCAACCGGCGACGTTATTCCAGACAATATCGAATGTTGGGGTGCGCTGAAATCCGTGGTGTGCTCTATACTCGGACCCGGCACCGCGTCCCATGGGCATACGTCGTCCATAGGGCGAGCTATAGCTTCCGACGTGCCAGCATCCCTGACAACATGAACTTTATTATATGATTTAGTTTTCACTTTTTCCTCTCTGTCAACTACCATGTCGATGTACCATGCACAGTGTTCAGTATGTACAGTATTGTTTCTTTAACAAGGAACATTGACGAATTGTCACCTTTTAATTTTTATGGAAGTTTAAAAGTTTATAGAACACTGGAAGATAATTGATACGTATTTTGTATTTTGTAATTTAGAAATATAAAATTTATAAATTTACAAGTTTGGAAATTTGACCATTTAGAAATACAGAAATTTCACATTTTCCAACTTCCAACTGTTCAAATTTAGAAATATGTATAAAGTTTAAATTAAAAAATTGAGTACCTATCACTATTGCGAGCATAGCTGCCTATCATTGGGTAACAGGTGACGACCCGAGTCGAATCGGTCAGCTACCCGACACAGACGTTCTTATATTCAAGTTACCCGAGATAGTCACACTTTATCTAACACCTGTTTGAATCCGCTCTGACTTCTTTCGTCTTGCCCCGAGTTCAATATACCGGGTACCCGCACATTTTTACTAAGCCCTATTGCTAATATAGGCAAGGCAAGAAATCCAGATATTCAGACTAGTTATTTGCCTATCCTCCTAATCAGTTATTTAACCCCTGATCAGTGGAGTTTGGGTCAATTGAGATTCAAATTAAATGTATCATTTTCAAACAAAAAAATTTCATATTTTTGAAAAATAATTTTGGGATGAAGTTCCGAATACGACCGGTCGCTGATTAAGATGAAATTTTGAGGGGGAGGGGGGAGGGAGGAGGAGACCCCAAATATAAAGTGGTATCTTCGGCTTTCTATTAGTTTCCGAGATATTAATTAAAAACTTTCGTACAATACATAGAATTTTTTCTATACATTTGAAGAGAATCTTAAGTTTATGTTTTACCTGTATGGAATGTCAGCAAGGTTTGACTGACTATGGGAATGTGGCACTCTGGGCGTAGTTGCAGTTGTATCCCGAACACCACAAACCGCTAACTCGTGAGCAGACCCTGACAGGCTTCGGTCACTGCCTCTACGTTTACCACCCGTTCCACTGCTCATAGCATGTTGTTGCAAGGTGCTGGTTGTCGGGGCTGAAGTTGAAGAAACTTTCTTTTTGGCTTGCCCCCCGAAGCCGAAAAATCTATAACACATAATTAACATTACAAATCATATAATTAAATTGTTATACATTGTTATACGATGGAATCCGATTACGGTAGATTCCCGTATAAGGCGGTTAACATGTTACACGTTGTAGGAAACCGCGCTGTACGATCATTTTTCTCGTATAACGCGAATAATCTGAAGTAACATGTTTGACACAGATAAAACCTTGACCGCACCATGAAGACACACAGAGTCGTCTCGGCCCGGGTAGGTCCCCGCTGGCACATGACAATACGGACCTCTTTATGGTGCGGTCAAGGGGTCCATTGTCGCCAGTGTATCATTTTTGCGTTATATGTAGAAATTTGCGTCATACGGGAGTCCACTGTATTATAATCACGAATAATGTTATTAATCGGCCATTATTATCATAACAGTTGACCTTAAAACACTATAAACTTTCTTAATTACTATTTTAAACTTGAATGTTTTCCCACGCTTTTGAGGATTTGAAAAATGGTGCCAGAATATGATTTCAATAATTGAAGTTATTACAACTTTGTAAAGATACCTATGCAATATGACTGATATACTTATCCCTTTCCCGCAACTAGATTTGTCTCCCTTGCCCATGTGAAGAGTATACTGGTACGCTTATAGTCGTTATTGGATTAAAGAAAATATTGAAAACGAAAGAAACAACGTACCTTCTCTTTTGTAATGGTTGCACACCAGCAGCTAAAAGATTTCGATACTGATCAGAGCGAATAAATCTCGGATAACAATCCTTTTTCAGAAGTAAGGTATACACATGTTCAGCGGCAGAATCAAATGTAAATCGATTTGGATTTTTCATTTCTTGATGAACTTTTTCCATTGTTTTCCCGTCGATGTTGATCTCGCAAGGAGCTCCAGGTGCCAGGAATTCTCTAAGCAAACAACAGAAATAGCTTTTTGTGTCAAGTTTTATCTGTCATTCAATTATAAACTATAATATATATTTCTATTATACGTACTTGAAGATTTCGTTGACTTTGTCAGATATTTGTGCTTGAAAGCTGTGCCTTAAGTCTTTAACCGCCAACCAAAATCGTATGTTTTCGTGACTGTATTCTTTTCTTAAATAATTCGTAAATTCTTGCAAACCTAAGACACATAACAAAAAATTAAAGTACATACTGTCCTGCGATCACAAGAAGTCTCGCGGGACGATATCGGGGCAGGAGGGGGTACTATGCACACATCGACAGACCCCTTAGATTTACATGAGCGTACTTAGCAGGTACGACTGCGTCGACTAATCATACGTCGCTACCGAAAGTATGTGTAAGCTGAAGAGGGGCGTGACCAATCAGATTGCGTTATTCTCGTAAGACTTCTTGTCATCAGTGGACAGTATATATCAAGAATTATTTACTGACTATACAGGGTGACCCATTTTAATCAATAAATGTGATTATCTCGAGAACTATTCGTTATTTGAAAAAATGTTTCATAAGAAACTTATTTTGTTTCGAGGGGGATGTAATCCAGCGCCGCTATTTTGTTTGTAAGTGTACGCATGAAGGACACATGAAGGTCATATTTATTTTTTTTATTGGAATTATATAATTTTTGATGCACTATTCGATACATCTCGGTATTTTGAATAAAAATGTATTGACTTATTTATGTCGAAAAACTATTGTTTTTAGGATGTAGAGGATAATGATAGAATTGCAACACCTCTGAATCAACAATCTGAATCATTTTTACGTATATAATTAAAAATTAAAAATTAAAAATTATTTACCCGTAGGATCCGACATTAATTCTTCCATCGACAATGCCCAACGTTTCACCCTCTTCTCCGTAGGAACTTCCACCCTGACCACAAACAAATTCAATAAATAAAAGAAATTTAAATAGAATTTGCATGAGAAACATGGCATGCACTTTATCACAAAATACATATAAGAATATCTTGAGGTGGTGCTTATTTAATATATACATACACAAAAAAAAATTAACCCTTGAACAGCAAAGTCTGGGTAAATACAGACCCAAACTTACGGAATATAAAACAAGGATAAGTATTAACCTAGAGTTAAATGAATAATTTATAAACTAAAAAGTTTCATACACCTATTTGAAGAATAATCTTGAAAATAAGTGTTTTCTAAAAAATTTAGAAAACGACAATATGACATACTAAATTAATATAAAATGAACGCTCTCTTCAAGGTCTGCTGTCCGAGGATTTGAGAGACCATATAATATTATAAAAGTTGGATTTTAAGAACCACCCTAGCATATGTATACATATACAAGGCGAACTAGTTAAATTAGTACACCTAAATATTTCCATTATTTATGGTTTTATGGAAAAAGTCCTTCAGGACAAAGTTATACTATTTTAAACAACACATGTAGCGGCAAGATTTTTCTTTCTTTTAAAGATCATCGGTATTTTTGTAAATAGAGGTATGCATTTAAGTGATCTCATTTAAGTAGTCCAACCTGTATAGTTGTAGGAAAAATTATAGTTACGTTTGCAATACTAACAGGGGACTGTTTAATTGCCAAAATGTTTGATCGTCGGTGATCCATGGATTAGAAGGTTGAGGCGGTACAAACATTGCATCGTATTCCACGTATGTTTCAAAGTACGACTTCAGGTTTTCAATCGCAGCCGACACCTTTATTCTTGTGCGAGTTAAACTATTCTTTAACAGGGCCACCTAGTATTCAATAAGAGCACATTTTGTGGTAAATATTCCTTCGAATACATTACAATAAATTGTTACATAGCTGTTATTTTTAAAAGATCAAATTGTTAATATAATCTTTTCTTATAAAAAGAATACGTGAAGTACAGTTAATGAGTAACTACCATTTGCACTTTAATGTGTTTAGATGTGTTAAACAGTTTCCGAGAAAAAAAATAATAAAGTTCAGGGTTGTTACCCTCATATCTCCCATACCAGGGAGGGTAAGGGTTGAAACAGTCGTTCTTTAGGGAAAAAGCATTTTGTGGTATAAATATCAACTGGAATTGTTGCTGGGGTCGATTCATCTTGCTTAACAGCCTAGACCCTTTGGAAAGTTAAAAATTTTAAAATATAGAAATTTCAAATTTTCAGCTTTACAAATTATAAAATTCATGGTGATTTTAAGTTAGTATACCAAGCATGCACACGAAATTGCCCGCAATAGGTTTGTATACCCGCGGACAACTTTGAGCACCCGTGTTCGTTTCAGCACATGCTGCGCGTGCCTACTTTACAAACTTTTATGAAGATATTTTATAGCCAGAGCTAGTGGTAATTTAATACAATTCTTCTAAAAAAGTACAATTTTTATTAAAGTGGATGAATTTTCAAAAAGAACAATATAAAGGTTTGATCTTACAAAAAGAACAATATATAAGGTTTGATCTTACATTCTTGGATGCCTCACCCTGTACATTTATGAAGCATACAGGGTAATTCTTTTGTAATGCAAACCAAAGGCGATGCCGATCGCCACTTGAGGGTCGTTTCATCTTCATACGTACATGTCCATATAGCTGTTTGTATAAAAAGAAACCGGCTCTCAAGTGGCAATCAGCATTGTCTTTGGTTTGCGTTGTAAGGAAATCATTCTGCATAAAAATCAGTTACTGTGATGAATGCTGTTTGCATTGTTAATACAATACATCACTATTACGCCATTTATATTAGAGCACCACTTAAATTTTTATAGGACCTCCATGTTCATGTTATAAACAATTTTCTGACGATAAATGCATTCGTAATTAGATAATAAAAATAGTACAACATTGAGACAAATAATACAGTAGACTCTTGTTATATTGCCGCCGATAAGGCTGTAGGAACAGAAAAGTCAAGCTTTCAAGCTTTCACTTCAAAGGAAGAGGGAAGGTAGAAATTATTGTCGTAGGCTATGATAATAAAAGAGTGGCAATACTTAGCTTTAGAATCCATATGAAAGTCAAGTTGCTCACGTGGCAATATAACGAGAGTCTAAAGTGTCAAGAAGAAAAATATAATCCCGAATTTTTAGTAGTTGCAGCGTGACAGTTTAAGTGTTAATGACTTGAATGAAAACATATAGAATTTACCTCGCGTTGCAGATCAGTTAAAGTGCGTTTACGTGATGGAGGGCGCGCAACTCCAGGACGAAAACGGGTAGGTACAGGTGCTACTTCAAGACTACTAAGACAACCAGGTGGTGGCCTATATACTCTCCAAAACGCTCGTTCTTGGGAATCGCTCACTATTTTATCGCCTTTCTTCCGCTCCTTTGATAAACGTACCTGAACCCACACAATTAATATTTCAAGAAGTCACATGTTCGAATGTACAAGACTTATAATTGAATTATATACCAAGCCGCTCAAAAGTATCCACATGCTTGAAAAATGTTACTTAACATGTTTAGACCACGTGACATCATAAGACGTCAAACTAGTAAACCCTCGCCCTCCTGTTAATATATCATAAGATACCAAACTGTTCGAATCCTACATACTGGTGACATCATAAGATGTCATCGCTTAACACACAGTTTCGGTAAAATCTTTCCCGTTGCCCTGGAAAAATTCGAATGACAAAATTGTCGCGACTGAGCTAGGGGTTCTTATAACTATTCAGCACTCTCAAAAGCGCTTTTTAAGCTAGCCTAGAGTTACAGATTTGACAAGTGCAAGTTTGGCATCTTATGTCATATTCAATCATTAGTCTTTAATTAAATAATTGCCACATGATACTTTTTGATTATCATGATACTTTGATAACGAAAAATGATTAAATCACTGTAAACCCTCACTGTATTGCCATTTTTATGTTAACAGACTTATAATTGGCAATGTAGCGAAAGTTTACTCAAAATACTAGTCAGTATACTTTTGAGCGGTAATGTATAAGAATTTTAATCTAAGTACTGTAGAATTCTTATAATCTCTTGATGCTTGAGTGTGCTTGAAATCTCGACAATGGCAAAGTATTATTATTATATTATATTTTCGTAATACAGTAAAAATTGAGGAAAATTAATTTAAAAAATGGCTGTACTTAACACTCGCACTAATATCAGTTTAGTTTCAGACGTTTACTACTGATATTTACGTAAAAATGATTATTTAATTCAAATTCTGTGTAATATATATGTTAAAGTACAATATTTTAAAGAAGCTTATATTGAAATATTTATTAAATATAGAACAATTAAATAGCAAAATTGTAACTTCTCGGTCTAAAAAGATTCGCCAATGGCCGTGTGAGTGTTAATAAAAGAATAGAATTTATCAACAAAAATAGATGACGATACAGTAGAACAGACATGCACAGCTGTTAGTAAAATGGGCGCCTGTGGGCAACGAATTTAAACCACTCGTCGAAGAGTGGGGAAGACCGCAGTAGAGTAGGTGTGAGGTCGTGCAAAACATGCGAGCGCCCGCAGAGTAATTTTCTGTGCATGCCTATACTAAAACATGAGACAGCTATTAAAATTTTTATTTTCTATCGATAGTTAATTCTTTTGTTATTTTAGTGCATATAGAATAAAAAAAAAGAAAATAATATCCGTAAGCTGGATCGTGGTTGTGTTTAACAGTATCGAACTATAAAATGCCAAATTATCCGAATTCTATTGTATAGAATAATTTAAACAAGAAAAGAATTGACAAATTTTTTGACAAGTAAAACCATCGATATAATTTTTTTCAAGTCTGAAATCTTGAAACTTGTATTTAAGAAATTAATTTAAACATTCTGAGATTTGAATTTGAAAATGCGAATTTTGAAATTTTGAATAAAATTCTATCCAAAATTTAGCTCTTGTTATTTAACAAATTAATTTACCATTAAAACTAATTTATTTTCATAAATAATTACTATTGATCCCTAATGAATGAATATTTAATTTTAGACATGGTTTGCCTAATTTTCATAAAAATGAATGATGGAAATGATTAATTATTCACCTGTTCCTCGGCCTGAAGTTGTATAATATCCCACTTGTTTTGCAAATTCCTACGTAGGCTGTTCAAAGCATCCTAAGAGAATAAATTACTCACTAAGATATAAAATAAAAATCATGAAATATGATATTGCTAACAATTTACATACAATCTCGTAATCTTCAAGAGCATGGCGTTGCTTGTTTCTTAGACTTCTTTTAGCCAGATAAATAGCGTATTCCACGTTATCAGGGGTTCTATGTTGCCATGGCCAATAACATGGTGTCTATATATTAAACAAAACAAAAATTATATATGAACCACTTAAACAATAAATTACTTTTTCTATAAAAACATATTTCAATTGAAATATTTCATAGTATTTATTTATTACCTTTAAATATACCATATAACTATTATACACTAACACAAAAGCATATTAAAGGATGTATAAAACTGTTTAAGTTTAAATAATTATACTTTCACAGTCATACATCAGTTATAAGGATGAGGCAATGTTTGCTTCATGAACAATTGCTTTTAAAGGGAAATTTCAATAGAATTTTGTAGGATTATAGAATGATTAACCTTTGAACAGCGGAGCCGAGTTCAATCGTGACCCAAACTTACAAAACATATACGATGTTCTACGAGCCGCGACGGGGATGCTAGTATTAAATATTGCTACACTTAGGAACAGAATAGCACCGTGATAATCTTCTAGTATTCAACGACTGTTGACCGTGACTGTATCGTAAACGGTCCTACTAACACGACGTTCAATCGTCGGTGCTGTGTAAATTGCCGGTTTTAGGCGCTTTCCATTCGAATCTTACATTGTTAATAACTATAAAAGAAAGCCGCGAACCCTATTTTAACATTGTTGATTTTTCGTCTTATTTAAACCCTCAGGATTATCTCTTACAATTTGATCCAACTGTCGTTGAACACCCTGTATAGGTTTGTGGCTCTCCACCACTTGCGTATAAACGTTTAGGAGGGTACATTTGAATTAATATTTACTTTGTTGTTCGTACTTTCCAGTTATATACTAAATTGTATAATATTTAATAATTAAAAATCATATTATTTTTTTTCTAAATCACTTTCAATATTAATATGACTACAATTAAAATGTTGAGAATTGCTGTTTCCCCTAAGGAAACGTAATTTGATCGCGAGTGTATATACTCGCACATCCTTACTCTTTAATCATTCTGTGTATAAATGTATTTATGTACAAACATGTAAGTGTAAGCTTGCATGTTGCTGGACTTTCGAACATAATAAGCCAAATACAGTACCTGAAATCTATATAGAGAACTATCATCCTTTACGGTGAGTGTCTTGGAGTCATTCACCGGGAAGAAGTAGCCATACTGGCAGAGTTGGTTGGCAATATGGACCGCCTCTACTGTCAACATAACAGTTTACTTTCATATCTCATAGAATCGTTGCTTCTTATGGAAGGTACTAATTGAAAATGATCTAATCTCGTGCAACCTATCTATACTTTACTCTAATGTGCGCAGAATAATAATCAGGGTGAAACCAGTGATGAGCAATTGTACCTACCCTAGAAAACACGATGCAGGGACGTGCAAGTAGGGTGCACTCGCCGACATTGATACTTCCGAATTTCGATACTTCTAAATTTCCAAATTTCTATACTTTTCAATTCGAAATTTATGAATTTATAAATTTGCAAATTAAAAATTTCTGTGTCTAAATTATCACTTAACCAAGTTTCTAAATTTTGAAATTTGGTAATTTGAAAACTTGTAAATTTGAGTTTGAAATTTTTCTGTTTAAATCTCTAAAATTTCCTGATATTTTTCAATTTGATAGTTGGAAAATTTGGAAATTCGAAAATCAAGAATTTCTATATTTCTACTTTTTCAAAATATGAGAAATTCAGATTTGGAAATTTGATATTTCCTCGCACCTTATCCCTGTACGCACCGTGCACGTCAGTACCCGTGAACTTACAGCGGGCACTTAATCTGCCCATCACTGCAAAATAAATGTTGCGAAATGGTGCATGCTGCTTGGATATAACAAAGCAATATAACTGAAAATTCTGATACTTTGTCACCCATATAACGAAACAGTTTTAATCGACGTAAGACGAATTATAATAAATTTTTACTTTGAAGAACTTTAAGTGCAAATAAAACTTATTTTGTTGTTTCGTACCAATCATGTCGATCAGAAAATAAGGTGTAACTGATTAAAAACAGTACAATATTAGTTTGTTTGTTAAATAAGAAGTATTTTTGTATGTTGGAGTTTTTAAGTAGATATGTATCTCATGTAATATTTAAGTACATATCATTTGCCGTTCAATGCTACTTACGCATTAAATGATATTAAAAAGTAATAATAAAACATTTCTATCTTAACCTTCTGTCTTATAATACTGAAGGAAAACCAAGGTCCATAGAAAAAACCCTGCGAACAGTACCGAGCACAGTATGCTTCCTTAGTGAAAATGGCGATATAAGGGAAGAAAGAATCATAAATCGCCTGCAAACATTTATTTGGGAAAATTTAATTTCATACTTATTTTAATTATCAATATTTTCTGAAGCTATACATTTTGAAACATAAAAAATCGGATTTTAGAACTTCGAAATTATCAAATTAGAATTTTAAAACTAAAGTTATAATTTTGAAATTTTGAAGATTCGATACTTGCGAATATTGTAGGGAGTTATGGGAGCTTCCTTCTCTCCCTATTCTTACGGATGCTTACCGTGCTCGACGCTATATAACACAATAATTTTGTTTTCGTGTCGTATCTTACAATTAAACAGGAAGTGAACTACTCAAACAAATTACAAGACAAAAGATTCAGAAAATATAATACGCGAGTTTTACGTTTTTAATTAGTCATAACTAAATAATAATTTCCCATATTGCAACCATTTTAAATGTTACCACTAATTAATTTTCTTATTAACAAAATGATGATATTCATTTATGTATGATTCTAAAAATATGATGACCCTGTACAATGCCTTATAGAAGCACGATAAAAGAACCTATTTATAACTTATACAATCTGTTTAATTACTTTAAGTGTATTTAACAAATACATAGAACAAACGAAGAATAATTATATAACAATACTTACATAATATTTTATTGTCTAATCATTTACTTACATAATGTTTTATTCTTTCATTTAAAATTCTTTATTTTTAATATTTATTATTCATACTTATTAGCACTAACTAAACTGAAAATATCCTACATAAATTTTCATGTTTTTATATTGAAGTGTTAGTGAAATTAATTAAAATATTTGATGGTGATAATTCTTTAAAAAATGATTCAACAAGTGTAGCTTATTTACTTATAAGTAAAATACATAAAGTTAGTCTTCTTTTAAATTAATGTTTACAAAATTACTTAATTAATTCTAGAAATAGTGTGAAGATATCAAGAATTGATTATACCAAACTGATTGAAAGTTTCTTTTCTTTTATTCATCAAAATGTTTATTCTTAAACATCTCTGAAGAAATTATTCTATACAGAGAATTTTAAAATGTATGATTGAGAATTAAAATTACCAAAAAATTTGTAAAGTAATTTTCAGGGTGTTCCAGGCATCATGGGACAATTAATCATTGGGTACTTTCTCGTATAAAATTAAATTGGACGCTTAAAATAAAGTTTACATTTGAGACAAAGATAGATGAGGAAAGGAAAATAGGAACTGACCACAACTCCATTAGAGGAGCAAAGGATCAATTGCGGAAATGAAGGGGAAGCCATTGCGGAAGCCAACCGCTCCCATCGAGTATCCATAGTCTTCAAGGACGAGACGTCAATTAGCACTTGGCCTAGACACCTGGTGTCAAAGTAAAAGAAGACGTGGACCGACAAGTGAAAGAATGATTGAACCAAGGTATAACTCCAGACCATTCAAAGAGTCCATGACGTAAGGCTTGAAATTCTTATATTTAAAAACTTAAGGATATGAATTTTGGAACCTCAGAATTTCGAAATTTTAAAACCTGAATTTTCGGGTACACCTCTAGAAGTTTAGAGTACACTCACCACCAAATCAGGCTTCCCTAGGGGAAATGAAGACACAGGGGAAGCAGAAATTCTCAAAATCTTCATTTTTATAGTATTGATATTAAAATTAATATAATTTTTAGTTATTAAATATTGTAATATTTAGTATATAAATGAGAAATATGAGCAATCGATAAATATCAATTCAAATTATCCTGCGTAAATGTTTACATGTGAGCGATAGGGCCAAACTCCTTCTTTACATTGCCATTTTCCCCGGGAATGCCTAGGGGGAAGGACGAGAGCCTGGGAGATCACCATTTTCCTCTAAGTCTGATTTGACCGCGAGTGCACATCTTTTCAAATAATCGTATCGAAAGGTATACGGTAAGGCACGAATGGCCCAAGTCCTCTCCGTCAGCGGCTAAACGGTCCCCACTGCTAGATACTCAATCTTCCCACCATAAGCGTATAGTATTTAAGTATAGTGGAAAAATGTCTCGTATAGTTCAGTGGAGTGAGAAAGTATGGATAGTAAGTAGTCAGGCCCTCTAAACCTTTGTGAATTTAATGCAGATTTTAGTTCGTGTTGTAACCCTTTAGCATTCTATTTTTTGTTTCTAAATATTAATATGTTTATACTATTTGTTAAATCAGAATAATATATTATACTTTGTATTTTACGTCTGTTTAGTTTAAAAATAAATTGATTGCATCAACCTACCCCGCTTAAATACCAACTAGCCCTGGCTAGGAGGCAATTTAAGACACGTGACACGTTATCTATAAATTAAAAAATTGATAAATAGAAAGAAAATTAGCAGTTGCAGAAAGAATCAAAGATTTGCAGGTTAAAGTAATAGTTCCATAAAATAAATAATTTCAAAATTATAAATTAAAAACAGAAATATGTCTCAACTAGCCGCGCTCTCCACATACATATAAGGAGCACGTTCTTGCATGCGTATCTCACCGACATAAGGCACGACATCAGCGCCTGAAGTATTCCCGCGCATGAACTAATTTACGTTACAGCACTAAATACAGGCATTTGGAAGGCCTGCTCACCGTTTGGCCATGTTTGTAATAAGAGATCATTCAGGGGGTCCACGATACAGAGCTCTTTGAGGTAAAAAAGACGATAGAGCTCCTAGCGCAGAATTACTGAATAGGAAGAATGCAAAGACCAGTTTAAAAAAATTATCTCCAAAACTGTGTTTCATGCATTTTGGGACAGCGGACATCGGGAAAGGATAAGGGATTTTTGGATCAGATCTATAACTTCGACCACAAAGAACTATGTACTGTTAAAGATCGGCACAGTGGGGCCGCTCCTTTAGAACGACACTGACAATGAGTGTTGGACTGTGAGACTGGGAGAATAGAATATAAGCTTTACAGGAACATTCAGGATGCTGTCGTCTGCCCGATTAACTGGGACAATGACTGGGACACCCTTTATGCAATATGTTTAATCACAGATATTAACTTTATATAATTACACATTTCTATTCCGTTCGTGTACATTGAAAGCTGTAATTTTGATTAGTGTAATGTAAATTAAAATAGGGAGACATCTAGGAATGGGACCACAAAGCGAGAAACGCAAGCAACACTCACATTACATAAAGATGATATTCTTATATATTTCAAAGGAATTTAATAAAAAAAGAAGAAAATGCAATGACAAAGAGTATACTGCGACGCCTAATCAAATCTTAACATATACATTTGCGTAACTAGGATCTTTTTGGAGTGAGCCACGTCACGTAGAAATTTTGAAATCCTGACATTTTTAAATTTTTAAAACTTTGAGAATTCAGAGTTTTTGATTTTTGAAATTTTAATGATTTGTAATTTGTTATACAGGGTGTTTCAGAGCCAGTGTTTTTCCTTAATAATTCAAAAACGAAGCTTCAAACAACATTTTCGCAATGGAAAATGTTGTTCAGAATCACCCCAGCTACCACTCCTTCACGGAACCAACGGTAGTTCTGAAACACCCAGTATATTGAACTTTTAAAATGCTAAGAAGACAAGTTCGCGGGGGGCACAGTAGTCTCTAGCTAGTTACGCCAATGAGAATATCATAACTATTCGTTTCCATTTCATAGAATTACTCTAATATTGTAGGTACTCAATTAATTTTCAACATTAGAAAAATTGTATGATTTTTCTAAAGCAAACTCATGTAGCGAACCATGAAAACCATAAAACTTAAGGGATGATTAATTAAAACTTCATAAAACAATTTTTTGTGTGTGCATTAATATTAGAACCACTGGGTTAAACTAGTACATGAGATACCAGAGTAGACAAAATTATCTGCCAAGATGAGTACTCATGAAATACCCGAACACAAAAATGTAAAACATATTAAATTTTGAAATTTTCAAATTTACAAATTCATAAAATTTATAAATTTGAAAAGTTAGAATTTTATAAATTTAGAAATGTCAAATCTTTTAATTTCTAAATTTAAAAATACAGGAATTTAAAATTTGGAAAAAATGAAAATTTCAAAATTTTGAATTTCTAAACTTATTAACATAGAAATTTAGAAATGTAGAAGTATAGGAATTTCAGATTTACAAATTGAGAAATTGACTACCCATCAGTGTCCACAAATGCACAGAACTTACTCCCGCGGCTATAGTTGCCCATTACTAATCAATAATGCTAGTAATGACGGGAATCACTATGTCATGTGTTCGAGCATCTCATTGCTGCCTGAGTAGCTACGTATCTCATAAGTTAGCACCTCTAGTTAGCATCATCTGTCAGGTTTCGTACCTGATTCCTCGATGGAGAGCCGCTCCATCAGCCACTCGATGAGATCGTAACCTGCAACACGCAGGCAGCCTACTGTAGTGCTCTGGCCGTGATGGCCGCTTACGCTTACTCCACAACGCAAGTACCGATGGCACTCACCCATGAAAGCTGAAGGAATCGAGGTGAGAAATTGTTTTTGGCTGCGCACGGGTACCCCGTTCTCAGGGTCTTGCATCTCCCGCACCAGCCCCTCCATCTGTAATCAAATGAAATGTTTTAAATAGTATAAGTTTCTTATTTCTCATCTATAAAACATCAATCAATGCTTTCTTTTCAACGTTTCAAACCTTAATAAGGACCCTTATTACAAATAATAATTTAACATTTCTTCGAGACATTCATAAGGTATTTACTAGTATAAGTATGCATCACAAGTCTCGAAAACTAAGAGAGTCCGACATTTTCGTGAGATGAAAAAGTTGTTCAAAATGTCGAATGTTGCAATATACAATTGAAAAATCATCGAAATCAATGAGGGAATAGCTAATGTATACTAACAATAGGTTTCTTAATATTTAATGATTAAAAATTATATTAGTTTTTTTTTTTTAATTAATCTTAATATAATAATATTATCTTCAAGTTTAAGATTTTGGTGAGACCTCGTTCTACATCGCCCCGATCTACACTGTGTGGGTAGAACCGTAGATCTGCCCTCTCATTGTCAGTTAAACATACACATTTTTCAATTTCAGAACGCCGCGATAGACTTCGAAAAATCACCGCGGGCTCAATATTTTAAATGAAATGCATTTATACCTTGTCGAAGGCGCAAGGCCTGTGAACGCGTGGCTCCTTCTCCTTCTGTTGTTGATTGTTAGAAGCCTCCATCGCGATCGAGGCGGCCCTCTGCGACGCTGGCAGGAGCTGTGACGATATTGATGGCGGAGGGGGCTGGGGAGTTGGGCCGGAGACGGGCCTACCCGAACTCCATGGGGCTCTGGCCCCATCCCATCACTCCAGTCACCCCCGCACACCCACTGAAATTTTCAGACAACAACAATTATTAAAATATATTTGGACTATCAAATTAATGAACAGAGACATTTTTTAAATATATGAAGATGCCTTTAAAACTATTAAAAAGTATTTTATACTTTCAGCGCGGATATCATCTTATGATGATAGATCTAATGTCATGTAACAGTAGATCAACGGAAGTAACGGTAGATCAAATGCCCCCTATGGACACCGACGTCCATGATGTCTGCAAGAATCACATGGGCAATCGTCCAGGGCACTAGAACTGTAGAATGCGCCACAGCCCGATGTCCCTAGTATGCGAATATACCGATATTTTCTCATTGTCTCTTCTCTCTATCTATATCTCATATGTAATATTACATATATGCTATATATGCTGCGACATTTATGTCTACCTCTTCACTCACGTGTTTTTTAGCCCATGAATGGGTGCCACGATAATCTTGTCCGGGGCGCTAATATTGTTAAAACCGGCCCTGTGTGGAAGAGTGGTGTGGAATATATCAAATTTTCAAATCAGCCAATTTCCAAATTTGGTAAATGAGTAACATTTTCATTTTGTTAAGTTAAATAAAATCAAAGTAGATTTCAATTAATAAGCCCAACATAGCAAATATTACAAATCGTAAGTAAAATACAGCACCGGCCTTCTCATTAATGAATTCAACAAGTAATACTAGATCAATTTTATCATTATTATTATTTTATTCGAAAGAAAAATATTTAATACAGGTATGTATATTTATTTATTTATTTATACAAAAACTCTTCTCACAAAATTTGAAAACTGTTGATAAGCACTTGATGAAACTATTTACAGTATATGTAAATATTCGGGGCACATTACATTGTTCCATTTATTTTCATTTTCTAAACGTTTAATTATTTTCTAATATATGAAAATCTTTCGTTAAAAAATTGGATTGCGTAATTTTACTCGAAGTATCCTCATACAGCATCGAGCATAGTAGGTTTCCCTAGGGAAAGGGGCGTTACAGGAAAAGCATAAATTTTTAAAACCTTGATTTTGACGATATTAATATTAAAAGTTGTAATGTAAATACAGAACGCGAAATAGCGGGCCCCTGCGGACCCGCAACCACGAGACCGCTAGCTCGCGGATTGATAACACCACCGCCAGATGGCAACCGCGAGAACCGCGAAACTCGCGAGGCAGACGGCCTCGCGAGCATATATATACCGCGCCGCGAGTCAGGAACAGGCAGATCTGTACTCGGAAGCGAATCTCCAGATGAGTGAGAAAGGGACACGATTAGCTACATTTTTGGATTCCCACGGCTTTCCTCCGAGTGTTCGACGGACGAGATGTGTACCGCGGTCGTCTGCCGCAGAAACATCTCAACCCGTGTTCCGAGCCTACTTCCTCCTACCTCCGCCGCACCCCACCGGGTTATGTCTGCGCTGCGACCGTACCGTACCACAACCGCCCCGCCCCGCACCGCGACCGTTGTGCGTTTTGTGAAAATGGTCTCATTCGATTTCTCATCCCTCAATTACTATAAATGCGAAGTTTGGCTGCCATACGGTGGAGTGGCCTTTCGGAAGTACACCCTCACGCGGGGGAGGGATTTTAGTGGATAGGGTGCCACTCCTCGTGGGTGGTATGAGTCCCACACTGCCCGGTCGTCCTTTAGCCGAATATGTAGTGCGAAAGGGGCTGCTCCGCGCGTACGTAACTGTATTTCCCCTCCGGCAAATAAAAATAAATGAAAGGTTAGTTTAGGTGGAAAAGGCAGTCAATGGCCTTAGTTATGTGGGTTTTACGGCTACCCCTAAGATAAGGTCAAGCTAATTTGACCGCGTATCGGTCAAGGATGGGTTGCCGCTCAAGGTGGGGTACGAGATCGACAAAATGTTTTCAGAACCTTTCCGCTCCCATTGCGACTCGGCCATATCCCGGGGCCGGGGTGGCGTTGGGCGTTTCGCTCGCCATTGTAAACGCCTTTAACACCCTGCTCCATGGGACGATAATGGGGGCACTAGTCGATTATGTAGTGCCCCCCTACCTGAGGAGAATGATAGGGCACTACCTACGGGATAAGTTAATCGAATATGTGGGCCGAGACGGACGCACCTATAGGAGGGGCGTCGACAGAGGTCCCGTATGGGGCCCCCATTGTAGAATGTGGGGTACAACTGAGCTCTGTGGGCCATGGTCCCGGACGGGGTAAGCATCACGTGTTTTGCTGATGACACACACGTGCTTGCCGCCGACCGGGACTGGAGCAGGACCAGTCGTCTAGCGGAGATTGGTGTGACTGCCGTCGTAGCGACGATCCGAAGGCTGAGGATCCTTCTTATCCAAACAAGAACGAGGGTGATATTTGTCAAAGAAACCACAGTTTTTGAAGTTGTGTTAATTATTATAACTATAATTTGAAATTACAAAACAATGAAAAATCAATAGGCATTAAATTATTTTTAAAAATTAACAATTTTTTTCTAATATTGATGTCTGTAAACTTATTAATAATATTCTCATAATAAGGTCTTAGAATATCATTTTCTATGTAACCTTTCGTTCCAAAAGATTACTGTGTAAATTTTTCACTATTTTCAGTATAAAAAATGAACATTGGCGTTGCAATAAGAGTATTGTTGTTGTTATATATTTTTTAATTAAATTTTAACACGGTTGTTAACACGGAATTTTTTAATTTTTAAACTGTATTTTTCAATATAATGCAAGAAGTGGACCTACATAATGAAGACAATATATACATATAATATTTTTTAGGTTTTCGAAGTTTCAGAATGCAAAGTTTAAAAATGTCAAAACTTAATGTTAGTTTTCGAAATAGTCAAATTTCAAAATTTGATGCTCAAAATTGAAAAATTTCAAAATTCAATACAAATATGTATACTGGTTTCGGTATATACAATGTATATTATAATCATTACAATAATTAGTAATGTACGTGAATGTATTTTTATTTTGTTTTATCGTATGTAATTATTTTTGGTATTATATCTAATGTTGCCGAATTGAACAATTTATCAGGAATTAGGCAGCTTTTATAGTGAAACTGCAATGAATTTTTAAACCCTTAAACAGCGCAGTCTGGGGCATTTAAGATCCAATAATTTTGAATTTTAACTTGCGTGGCCGATATATTAATTTAACCTAACCTAACCTATTCTAGACGGATAAGAGGAAACAGTTGCTGAAAATGTAGATTTCTATAATTTATTTAACCTAATTAGTAGATTAACACTTAAAGGACCGCATCTCAGCATTGAATGGTCGTTTAAGTGTTCGTTTAAGTTAGCATAGGTTAAGTTAAGTTAATATTTCGGTCACCGCGGGGCGGCATATCAAAATTAAAAATTAATGAATTTTGTTAAGTTTGATTTTTAAGCTCACTCGTTATATGGATGGTAGCCGGACCATGTGGTGCTGTTGACAGTAACACTAGATAAGCGAGGGTCGCTTGCCGACGACACATGGCTACGAACGTATACGTACAGGCGAAAATCAATGTAGTAGTGCTCACAGTTTTTCGCGAATATCTCGGAAACTAAGCGAGTCTGACATATAGATTAGAGGAAAAAAGTTTCTTAAAACGTCGAATTTTATAATATATTCAAAAATCATCAAAATTGCAGGGGGCTTTCCCATAACTTCAGCAAATTTTAATTTTGAAACTTTGAAACTAATAATTTTGAAATTTCGAAATCCTAAAATTAGAATTTGTGTTTTGAAATGTTAATTCTCATACGCCGAATATGTACTAAGTCTTGCTCACTATGTATTGCATACTAGGTCAAAATAACTTTCTGTTCGATGTACTAGGGTTCAAAAAAATTGTATCTACCAAGCATCGCAATTTTCCGGACATTGCTTTTTGTCACAATAGCATTTATTTTATAATTAATTCTTCTAATTATCTTGTAATTATGTAGTTATTGCAACAGTAAACTCTACAAAAAAAAAAGAAAAAAGTAGTTACATTGAGTCACGAGAAGGTAGTAGTTCAATAATACGGAAGTACAATCGTACCTTTCGTTACTATAGCAATGTCGATATCAAATACACACTCCGACTAGCAATAAACTACTTTTATTTAGAAAAAAATTTCGACGATAACCTTATTCTCATGCGTCATTTCCTCAATAACAAAGGGGAAGAATAAATTTCGAAATAAACCGCAAGCTATAGAAGCTGCATAAAATCGATGAAAAATTTCATGTTTCTCACGGATAGCTTTTCTTCCTTTAATTTTCTTGTATGCGTTAGAGGAAAAGCTGCACCGTGACCCGGTTCACTTTCTTAAAAGCTTTCGTTCACCATTGGAATACGTGGTCGATATTTATTGCGGCCTCTTCATAGCGTATTATGTATCTACAATTCGTCTCTGCCCATTCTTCACAGTGATAGAAACAAACTAACAAACAATACAATAAGAAAAAAAAGTAATAGACATAAATAAATCGAACAAATACTGGCGTTTATTTATTTATAATTTTTATTGACTACCAAAAATCAATCTAACATATTACGCGATGTCCCGTGATCAATCGTCAACACAAAATTGCCGATCACGCGATATCGCGTGGACAAAGGCCACTGTTTAAACGTTATGGCACACAGGGATCGTCTCAATAAAAATTGGCCAATTATTCAAATTCCTAAAATTCTAAGATTAAAAAATTCCAGGATTCCAATAAAAAAGTGAAAGTATTGTAACCCACCCTGGTAGTTGCATGGGACACATCCTCTCCTTACTAGAAAGCACAGAAAATCACCTGAATTACACTGCACAAAATGGCATAAAAGGAAGATATCCTTGACACAGAACACGCGTGAAAATTGGCATACAAGGACGAGTCAATGTTGACATTGCGCGACTAAATAAGAAAGCGAGGATTCCTGTCGCGGTCACAATAAGGAATAATTTACTCACTCGACGAGTCAGGGCAGTGTAGCTTCATATACGCGTCCCGTGATGTTATATCAGGCCATCGGAGCACAGCCGAGCTCACGGCCCTTCTTCCGCAGCTTCGAGTCTAAAGCCACCGTCCGCACTGAAGGCAGCACCGCGCGCCCACACCCGCGCTACACCATTCTCATCACCAGCACCAGCACCACCAGCAGCACTGACGCTAGCACTAGTACCAACCACGACAACGACGCAGCGACCGCCTCTATACCGAGCATATTTTGCGACGGACACTGCCAATCTGCAGGGAAAGAGGCTGGCCAGACACAACAATAAAACTGCAGAATCCTACACCCCCCTACCACTTGTATGTACACATGCCTTCAAGAATTTTTCACGTTCCTCGAGATGCGGGCTCGCCTCTACCGATCACTACACTGGATTATTTCTTACATCACTTTTACTGGTGATACTGGTTAGGTTTACTGATTTCAAAGATTGATTAATCGGAGTCGTTTAGTGATAATGGAGTTTTAATATTGATCATCGCTTTGCGGAGGTCGAACCCCGCAGACATGATGTCGTCGGAGAAGGATTCCAGTCGTTCGGTTTCGCTTCGGGTGTACTCGGAGATGTTCGGTTGTTACCGCGCACTTTGGGCTGAGCAGCCGAGTCACCCCTTCGATGACCATAGCCTCCCCGTTCCTACCACCCTTTCGTCAGAGAAGACTGCGCAACCGAGTTACTCGGAACTTTATCGACGACGGATATATATAATGTGAATACTGGGGTGGTATGTGGGATGCTATGGAATTTAGGGTGATTTATTGGTGTAAATTTTAGTGGATATAAGAAACTAGAAATATTATTTTTTTTTATTTAGGAATTTGTTTTTGAGAATAATAATTTTGAAGATTAATTAAATATGGAAGTATGGATTCATTTGCGAAACTAGTTAGGGACAGGTTGGACTTAGTCTCCACAAAAATGTGGATTGGTTTCTTCATCATTCTAAAATTCTAAAACTTTGAGACCTTGAGATTCCAGTTTAAAAATTTCAGAATTCCACATTTCCAAAATCTATAACCTGATATATGTATATCCTGTTAAATAAATAAATTAAAATAAATATACTCGGCAAAGATTATAAATAATCGGAAAACATTAAACAAATTCTTAAATATCTGTTTCAAGTAAAAGATGCATATTAAATAGAATATAATAGATCAAACAACTGCAAAAGTTTAACAAATCACATTTTCACTTATTTATTACCGTTTCTTAAACGATCTATATATGTTAAGAGGAAAGTGTGGTATATAACTATCAAGACATTTTCTATAACATTCACCTCATTCTCATCTCTATCCTATTTTAAATTCTATCAAAAACATCTGAACTTAAATTCTTTAAAAATTGCAGTGTATGTAATTAATTATTAATAAATGCACTGATTATAGCACAGCTGTAATAGTTATTCAAAAAGAGACAAATTACCATTAAAAAAAAAGTTAGGAACCAACGATTTGAACCGTGGACCTTTAGATTGCGAGTCATATGTTTAACCGTAGAACTAACCTTTTGTATGTGTGAGTTCGTTATAGTTCTCAATACAAGGAGTAACTAATTTTAATTGTTAATATCTTTTAAACAATTAGCCGTCTACCCCCAAAATGGAGTATAGGTGTGTTCAGCTCGACGAGCTCTACTAGGTAGCAAAGTTTCATTAATAAATGAGCGTTACACTTGGGTAGTTTCCCTCGTAAATCTTCCGCTTATGTACTATGTAAAAAAATTCTAAAGTTTAAAATCTACTAAATTTTTGACCTAATTGTTATTGCAAAAATGAATCCTCTCTTTTTAAACTCTTTAAGTCATTAAATTCATTAAAATATGTACTTTTTCGATGTTTGTTCTTTAAGAATATTTATTTGTACGTCATTATTTTTCTTTTGTGATTAAGTGTTATTTAATTTCAGTTAGAATAAATTTCAATTTTTGAATCAAAATAATTTACTAACGATTAGAACAGGGCCTTTCTGCGAAGTGCAGCTTGAGGTTGACCCCCACCCCCCATTACCTTTTGTTAAATGCTCTCTGTAACAATTGGAAAAAATAATTTTGCGAATAAAATTAAAAAAAAACTACCATGCCCTATTTGACGCCCCAGGAAAGGACTAAAAAGAGAGAGCGAAAGATGTGTAAACTAACGTACGATTACGATGCTTATAGCTGTAGCATTTAGTGGCGTTCAGTTGCTGGAACGCACGCGTGCTATGTTGTAGTGTTCTTGTCGGTTCTCACAAAACAGTGCTGATATTTTCGTAATTGAAAGTGTAAATATATTTGATGTGTACAGAAAAAAAGAATAAGCTCTGAATGTTGTATCATTGTGTTTGAAATATCTGTTTATATTAGTTTTCTATGCTATTAAGGTTAGAAAAATTGTGATACAATTTAGTGTACTGATAATGAGGAGAAAACAAATCTATAGTGTAATCACATGAAATTAAGAAAATCGAAGAAATATGGTGCTATTCGTGTTCGTTTAAAAAGGAAAAACCATAGGGAATTAAAACTGTTGATGGAAGTAAAACGGGTCATGCGAATGACGTAAGGTAACGGATCTCCGTATGGATAAATAAAATACACAAAAGAGAAAATTTCAAAAGCAAAGAAAATTCTTTTCTTTTAAGTATCAATAGATTGAAATTACCTACATATGTTTTTGGACAGTAGTGTGGGACAAATAAAAAGAAAAATTAAAATATAGAAAGTTTACATTCTTTAAGCTGTAATATGATGATATTTCAATAATTTTGTACTTATTAGATGTCTATAAAAGATAGTAATTCATTCACCTACATGTATAATATCTTAACTGGATAATAAGGAACAAAACAATGTATATAATAAAAGATCTGAAGTTTCATTCTATAGAAAACATAATAATTATCAAAAGTAACTTTCAGTAAGATATAAAGATTAGGTACCAGGAAAAGTTTGTGTTGTTCTTCTATTAAATTTATTAAACTCTCACTGTAAAGTTTATAAACTTTCATCATAGATATTCATTATAAAGGAATTGATAAAGATCATTCCAAAGTTGTGAAAATTTAAGTTGGTAGTTATTAACATGAAAAATATATGTACTTATATTATATATCTGACTTTATATTTCTACTTTGATTCACTAGAAATATAAAAAATGTCAAATTTATGATAAATTTATTAGGGTTATGGGAAGTTTTCCTACAAAGAAAATATGAAGAAGTTCAGGTCACTTAAATTTTATATTATGAAACCCCACAAACTTTTCTTAGAACCTAGTCTATTTTTTGAGATAGAAAGAAATACTTGAAACGAAAGTCGTTTGGTTCAGAGAATTCTATTACTTGGTATATAGAACGTTTTCTCTGGTAGAGGTGCCTAAGAGATTTAAAGGTTAACTCCATGAATAGAATTTGTTTACGTAGCCTGCCTTAGGTGATTCCCCCTATGTAATTGGAAACATGAATGGATAAAATTTTCAAAAGATAAAACTATTACATGTTATCTTTCTAAAATTTAAAGTTATTATAATGATATAGAGATATAGTGCTACTTTGTATTATACTAAAAGTTCAAGTTTTTAAAAAATTACATGAAGCCTTTATTCACTAGTGTTTTCCATTTTATACTGCAACGTGACCAGTAATATCTATGGATTAATAATCTTACCCATTAACACTTTGACTATTATTTAAATAACACTTGAATTTGCATACTATTACGAACTTTTTTATTTACATAAGAACTATGTGTATCAGATGTTTTGCATAGCAATCAACATGATAAAGAATGATTCACAATAACCTGTGAGAATTTAAGCAATTTATTTTCTTTCTGTTAAATATCACAGTAATTAAAAATTAATACATGATTTTATTAAATTCTTTAAGGTATCCTAAGAGTTACGGATACTGTTACGACAAATGCCATGATCATATTAAGATTCCAATATTAGTATATTTTATGTTCTGTATCTTATCATAGAACGTTCTTAAAATGTTAAGAACAAATTTTAGTATCCATTTTGTTAATTATATCAATTAAAAGGTGTGAATAACCAAAAATGATTTTGAAATTCTTTGTATTATATAATCCTACAAACTTTTCTCAGAACCTAGTGTATTTTTTGAGATAGGAAGAAATACTTGAAACAAAAGTCATTTGATTCAGAGAATTCTATTACTGGCATTCCCTGGTATTTTAAAGTTATATTTCAATGCATCAATAAAGTTATATTTCAATGCTTTCATCACGTGCTGATGTCTTCTTCTCTATCTTACATCACCAATTTTCTACTTCATTTAACGATTCTTGCAGATTGATACATCCTACAGGTACTTTATCAGCTGATACTTCAGCAGAATCTTGCAAATTCGAAATAGCTTCATCTAGAATCGTTTCTTGATTTGAAGCATTGAACGTTAATCTGAGTCGACCATCAAGATATTCCAGATGACGCAAAATGAACTTGTCTACTCGCTTTGGTAGTTCATTTTTAAATACCCTAGTCTTTAATTGAGCAAATTCTGCTTCAACGAAGGATGATGTAGCAATCTGCGAACCGCATTTAAAATAAGGCTTCATTATGCCCGTCCACAGAGGTAGATAATGTATGAGATGTTTGATTTTTTTAGCAGCTTCGACATTGTAGTACGCATTTACAACACTGCCATTATTAGAATTGTTGGCGATTTCTTGGGCTTGTGTATATATGCTATCAGCCCAAGCTGTCCAATTTCCAGCAATTAATTCGTCATAATCATCACATTCATTGTTCTCTTCTTCCTGATTATCCATCGTTGTAGCACCTTTGATAGCATTATTTACGTTTCTCAAATGTATTTCGGATTGTAATAACATCTGGAAAGCAGGAAAATTTCCAAGATTGGAAACGCATACGCATTCATATAAGAACAAGTGTGCAGATTTTTGACCGTTAGGGAGGGCTATGTGAACCTGGCACCCGACTTTTAAAAAATGGACTTTTTTTCGGAAAATGGTAGTATATCGTTTGTAGTTGATTGTAGTAAAAAAAGTTTCGTTTGTAGTTGAATAGTTTAAAAGTTACAGACGATTGTTTATACTCCGAAGAGGTAACTTTATCAATTTTCAATATTTTTAAAATCCGTCTTTTCCATGTGATAGGGAATCATGCATTCATGCATTAAAAGGTACAATGACAAAAGATTATATCTATCTTTATTTGTCAAAAAATAGAAATAATGTTTTTGACCAAATACATAAAATTGAAACATTGGAATATGCCAAAGACGAAAGTTTCGATACAACGGTATCAGACAATTTGAAAGACGATCCAAATTGGTCGATGAGTAACACAAATTGCGTATTACCACCTCTGCGGAAATCAGTCACATTGTCGAAAAGCGAATGAGACAATCTGAAATTAAATATCGCAAAATAGAAAAATCGCGAATACGACGTACTCGTTATTGGTTGGTCGGACGCGGTATACGACATTTTATGGAGTCATCTGAAATTGCCCTGTCCCTTCACATTTAAAAATGCCAAAATAAATCGAAATCCTGGCGAGATATTCCTGTCGATTAAAGGTAGTTGTTCGGAATGCAATTCAGAAATTCATATATACTGTAAAACCGAACCGACTGAAGATAGTCCGATTTTATATATTTCCACCTTCAATTCTCGCATGATCGTACATGAAAAGAAGCGGGAAGTTCGTGGTGATAGACGAATGCGCATTGGAAAAGAATTACAAGGTACATCTACTTACGCTTGGCGACGGAATGAAGCTAATAAATTAATGGATTTCGGAAGCCTATTACTCGAATCAAATGTCACAATTTTCACCCGTTGTATGAACAGAAAAATGGTAGGCAAGCGAGCCGACGCACACATCGCCACGGACGTTTGTGAAGCTGGCACCTCATTTTTGAAAAAATTAATTTTTTGTTAAAGTTCTGAATGCACCCCAAAGAGTTCTACAGTTCTTGATAAAATTTAGCAATAGTTCCGGTGAATTAAATAAAAAAATTGATCTTTGAATCCGTGGGGTGCTAACTTCACAAAACGTAATAAAAAAATAATTTTTAACAAAAAACAAATCCGACTTCGAAATGCACTAAAAAGTGTCAAATAATTTCTATTTCATTTATACCAATATTCCATAGCTATTAATAATATCTACTTGGTCATTAAATAGGATACCAAATACATTTCAAAGTTTTCCGAGGCGGCGCAAAATTAAAAATACCCGAATATACGATGCTGCCAATAACGATTTGACTGCGGTATGGCAAACCTGGTAATTAATAAGTCGTAAGAAAAAAATTCGAAACGTTATAGATACGGCAGAAATTCGTATTTATAACGATTGTATCAGAGAAGCCGAACTTCGAATTCCGCGTCGGTAAAACAGTCAACGTTTCATCGAAAATTAGGCCGAACAGAAACTGATTTAAGCGCCACCTCAATTATCGCATGCTATCAACTTCGCATCACCTTTCGCATACACCTAAATGACACGTGTATGCTACGATAGCTATATGTATAAGTACATAATTAAACAATACTGACCATGCATTCATTATTATTAATTTTCGTTCCGTAAAATTGTAGTTGCAATGTGATACACTTCAGAATCTGAAAGGCATAGTTCCTGAAAAATATATAACAGAGATTAAATAGAAAAGAAAGCATAAATTTCGTAGCCAATTCACTCGTATTATTTGCTGTATGATTAATAAATGTACCATAGAAATAATGATACAGTTATTAATTAGTCATCAAATAATAACGATTGCCCAGTTCTCACCTCGAGGAGGTTGCTATGGTTTGGAGACCCGCCCTACCTCATCCCATCCACCCTCCATTTATGCAAATTTTTACTTTCATTCAATAATGAATTCCTCTCGAAAATTGTTATAAGAAAAATATTTGTTAGTCAACGTAGCGAATTTCTATCAAATGAAAAGCAGAAATTATGTGTTCTGTGGACAAGAGCGAGATCTGGCGTCTGACCAGAGTCATGGATAAAGTCATGGCCTTTCCGATGTACAACGTCTCTGCTTGAAATATCTTCGTCAGGGTTGATTTCTTTCTACCATTGCGTATCAAACAACTTCGTTCTTTCTAAATTCCATATTTTGTGATTTTCTTTTTATTTTATTTTTAACCGACTTCGAAAAGAAGGAGGTAATTAGTTAAAAATCATACAAGTTCCTTTTTCAGGAACTATAAAATTACTATAGTTATACGTTCTATATGGTAATATTGCAATCCCGAAAATACTTTTCTGAATTTAAACTATTGTTTCCCAATTAAAAAATATATAAATCTTTTTATCGTAGCTCTTAGCTTGATATCGCTTTCTAAAAGTTATCTTTAGAAAACGATATCAATTACCAGGTCACACCACATGGAGGTGGCTACGTTAGTGACCCACCCTAAAATCATAAGAACGTGAAACCATTCAAAACATACAACATAAAATAAAAATTTAAACAATACAATCTTGAAATAGAAAATAGAATTAGCATCCTAATATCAGAAACAATTGAGAAAATAACAATTCAACAATAAAATGCTGAAACAGAAAATATAATTAACATCATAATTTCTGTAACAATTAACAAAATAACAATTCAACAATAAAATGCTGAAATAGAAAATATAATTAACATCATAATTTCAGTAACAATTAAAAAATAATTCAACAATAAAATGCTGAAATAGAAAATATAATTAACATCATAATTTCGATTACAACTGAAATGAAAAATGCTGAAACAGAATATATAATTACCATTACAATCTCAGGGTAGGTTTTAAATAAATAGAACATAATTAAAATAAGAACATGAAATATAATTGATGTGCAAATCAATAAGAAAAGAATAATTTATTTCAATAAAGCAATAAACGAAAAAGAAATAGGGGAAATAAAATCGCGAGTTGACCATTCAACGAGTTCCAATGCGAGAGTAACTCGACATTTTACGAGTTCAATACGTCTTGGACGGTATTATTCATACCGTTCAAGGAAAAACACAAAAAATGAAAAAACAAATTAGCGAGCATAGTGACAGAATGACTGCCCATCCGAAGATGGAGAGCCATTAGTAGTTCCCCTCTTCTGGGCAAATTTTGCCGGGGCTCTTCAGCATATAGCCTCTTCTTTCTTCGGCAATAGCCTCACAAAAATCACTCGCGAAAATTTTACGTTTGCTCAGACATTTGTAAAAACGTAACACGTAAACGAGCAACAATCCCTTGAATCGCTACTCGCATACCTGCACAATTTTTGCAAATGTCCAAGCACAAAACACTTTTTAATTTCACTTCACTTCACTGCACTTTCACTTTAATACTTCATTTTTGTAATCGGGTCTAGTACCACGACTACGACTTACAAACTAATAAGGCTTGGCCTTGAAAAAATCAAGAGAGAATGCTAAATTAATTAATTGATAAATCAATTAAATTGCATTTTCATCTTTTCTCTTGATTTTTGGTTTCCCAACCCCAGATACAAGCTTCTCACGTATTAGAGGAGAATACGAAGAGAAACATGAAAGCTTGCTCTGGCCCTGCCTACTTATAAACTAAACTCAATCACACCAGAAGTAAACTACCTGCCTGCCTATCGCTATATTTAAAAAAGGGCAAAAATCATTCTCACAAAAATTCACTCCACGGTTCTCATACAACCACCCGGGTGCAAAAATGCCTACACCTAGAGAGAACGTCCCGGGACGCCTCCGACACCCGAGTTCAATTCAACTTTCACACTCTAATAAAATCATACCGTTTTGCTGAAATCGACTGACAAATAATAGTGAACATTATGCTAAAGTAATACATTTCATTTTCGTATTCTATTGAATTATTTAATGTAAAAATTTTTCAATTTATTCTTGATAAGTATTTTGTAATATTATAGTAAGTTAAGATTGTTAATAAACGATACAAATCCCACATCCTAACCACACACACACATGTGGAACTTCTATTGTGGTTCACTATTGGTTCACTACTTTTGTCAGTCGCCAAAATGTATTACACTTAAAACTAAACCTTGTCCACCGCCCTCCATCCACGCGAGTACATCTAAGTACCCGAATGAGCTTTGGGCATAAAAATGAACAAAGCCAAAGGTATTTTCACCTACCAGTTTTCTTCATGTGTGCTGAAATGCCTAAGCTAAAACGTATGATTAGCAAAAACTAAAGATGATATTCTCACTTTATTAAAAGTAACAATATCGGCGAAATTTCACGGCTCCGATTTAGGATATGGGCTGGCCCCCCCAGGGGGTTTTATTTCTAATAAAAGTGACTCGACTATGCAAATATAAAGCTTGAAGAACAAATACAGAAAAGCAAAATTGAGCACCTATGACATAAAACATGGTGCACTGCTAATATCAGTTGGCAACGGAGGTTCTTAGGCCCCCTGGACTTGCGCCCGACGCTACATACCACCCACCCCGCCTAGGAAAGGATGCACCCCTTCGCTAAGAGCGCTACCCGCCCGTCCAACACGTTGCATCCAACGGTGTCAGATTGACGGACGCCCATAGTATAGACAAAAGGACTACAGTTTAGAATATGGTAACATATTTTCATATGTTCCGTATTCTAAAGCTGTGCCTGCAAAGGCCTAGTAATGCATGGGTTTATCTCCCATAAGATGGTGTTTCACGGTCTTATGCCGCGGAATCCTTGTAACTAATTTGATTAAATAAATAAAATATTGGATTGAGTTTAAAAACCAAAAGGATTCCCACCAAATACTAGTCAGTGCATTGTCATATTTACTCTCGCGTTGGAAATTTTTCGCAACACTAATTAAAATAGAAAATCCTGATCTAAAAACATGACTAGTACATAAATATCTAACGGGCTAATATTTCACTATACTGATGAATGATGAGTGTGAATGATGAGTGTTTAGGGTCGAGAACCGTGAACGTGACAGAATGAATTTGAAGTACGAACGAAGAGCTTTCTACAATGCTTGAAGAGCAAATACTGAAAAGCAAAATAGAGCAACTATGACGCAAAAATGGTGCACTTCTAATATCGGCTGGCAACGGAGGTTTTCGGGCCCCCTGGACTTACGCCCGACGCTACATACCACCCACCCCGCCTAGGAAAGGATGCACCCCTTCGCTAAGAGCGCTACCCGCCCGTCCAACACGTTGCATCCAACGTGTCAGATTGACGGACGCCCATAGTATAGGCAAAAGGACTGCAGTTTATTAAATGGAACATATGGATGTGCGCCACATTCTAAACTGCGCCTTGAAAGGCCTAGTAATGCATGGTTTTATCTCCCATGAGATGGTGTTCACGGTCTTATGCCGCGGAATCCTTATAACTAATTTGATTAATTAAATAAAACATTGAGTTTAAAAACCAAAAGGATTCCCACCGAATACTAGTAAGTGCATCGTCATAGTTACTCTCGCGCTGGAAATTTTTCGCAACACTAATTAAAATAGAAAATCCTGATCTAGCAACATGACTAAAGGGGAGCTTTAAATTATGCTTGAAGAGCAAATACTGAAAAGCAAAATTGAGCAAATATGACTCAACATTCGTCCACTGCTAATATCAGCTGGCAACGGAGGTTCTTAGGCCCCCTGGACTAGCGCCCGACGCTACATACCACCCACCCCGCCTGTTTAAGGCTCTAGGCCCAGGCAGGGTGCACCCCTTCGCTAAGAGCGCTACCCACCCATCGAACACGTTGTATCCAACGAGTCCGAGTGGTGGACGCCCATAGTATAGGCAAAAGGACTTTAAGACAGCTTAGCGTATGGGATGCAACATAGTTAAATGTTCCGTACTCTATGGCTGTGCCTGCAAAGGCCTAGTAATGCATGGTTTTATCTCCCATGAGGTGGTGTTCACGGTCTTATGCCGCGGAATCCTTGTAACTAATTTTATCAAATAAAAACCAAAAGGATTCCCACCGAATACTAGTCAGTGTATAGTCATATTTACTCTCGCGCCGGAAATTTTTCGCAACACTACTTAAACTTGAAAATTCTAACGGGGTAATATTTACTCTCTCGTTTAAAATTTTTCGCAACACTACTTAAACATGAAAATCCTAACGGGGTAATATTTATTCTCGCGTTGAAAATTTTTCGCAACACTATTATAACTTGAAAATCCTAACGGGGTAATATTTCACTACACAAGGGTATGCGGGTGGATAAATGATTATATGATAGAGTTCGTGATGCTGAAGTGCGAATGATGAGTGTTTAGGGTCGAGAACCGTGAACGTGACAGAATGACTTTCAAGTACGAAAGGGGAACTTTATACAATGCTTGAAGAGCAAATACCGACCCCCTTGGGGGCCAGCCCATATACTAAATTGATGCCAATTTCACGAGTAAAATTGGAAAAACGTTTCGATTTCAAGAGCGATTTCGTTATCAAAGTAAGTAGTTATAATAATTAATAGTAATCATGCTTATTACTTTGATATTGAAATCCGCTCATCGCAAAATAAATTCTTGTACATATAAAAAAGAAAGTGTATTGTGAAGTCGGAGGGTCATCCGACTTCTCTACATTTTTAAACTCGAAATCTATATATGTAAATATGTACAAGAAAACCCTATCCTAAGCTAAGGCATAAAATACACAAAAAAAGCAATTTGCACGATTATCATTGTATAAAATAATACAGTGATATTCGTGGATCACTATGCTCGCTCAAAAAATAAAAATTACAACCAATTCCCGTGTCGCTATGGACCATTCGTCCTACGACATGATGGGAACCGGAGGAACTTTAAAGCATGCGACTTACCGATCGTTGACTTGCACCACTGCACTCGCCACGCATCTTAGATTGATTCATAGCTCGACTGTTGGCTCGTCAAAAAAACGGTACCCCCACTGGCCAAAGCACTCATCTGGAAGCATAAAAATCACGATTCTTGAACGATATATGTTTTCTCTCAATTTGTTGTAGTTAATATGCTAATACATACTATAATTTAAAAATATGCATGCAAAACTATATAGGAATAACTACATCATAAAATACGGTAAAACACATGCAAATAAATACATCCCAAAACACATGAAGATCAAAACCATAGAACACCATAAAATATTTGCAAAATTGTAGCAAAACACATAGGGTACCACTCCATAAAGCCTACTAATAAATTCGTATAAATATACTAAAACACATAGGGTACTACTCCATAAAACCCACTAATAAATCCGTATAAATATGCCAACACACATAGGGTACTACTCCATAAAACCCACTAATGAATCCGTATAAATATGCCAAAACACATAGGGTACCACTCCATAAAACCCACTAATAAATCCGTAAAAGTATGACAAAGCACATAGGGAACCACACCATAAAACACAATAAAGCACATGCAGGTACATGGGGTACCACACCATAAAACACAATAAAGCACATGCAGGTACATGGGGTTCCACACCATAAAACGAACTAATATATCCGTATAAATATTCCAAAACACATGGGAAACACTATAGGAAACAGTATAGGCAAACACAGTAACACTTGTGGTAATACACTGATAAATCCATGCACGAATATCCATGGTATCAACCCGTACCGGTATATGTTTGACAGATCCATCCGTATCCTTTGGCGGTCGCGATAAGACTGATTAGATTTGACCTCTGTACGGGTCGCGCATGTACCGGCGCGCGGCGCGCGCAATCAAGCGTGACGTTCCGCTTCACCGGTTCCGCAGATTTAATTATTTCTATCTGATAATTGTTAATATTTGTTTAATTATTATTTTATATTTTACAATTGTTTATTAATCAAATTATTGTTATATCTATTTAAATTGTTTATTTCTTTACATTTCCGCGTGGGTATATTGCAAAATTTTGTTTAATTATTCTATTAAAAATTATTTAATTATTATTTTTAATTTTACAATTGTTTATTAATCAAACGAACGAACTGCGCCCTACAGAATGAACGAGAAACTAAATTTCTGGTCTGTTTTACCTTGTTGACGTCTTTCGCGAGTGAACAATCAACGAAATCGTAGTTTTCAAATTACTTCTATCTGGAGACTTGTACATCATCCCTTGGGTACTCGTTTTATTCTATCCGACCCAAAGAATATCAGTCTGGTCCCTATTTGGACATACGATTCACAGAAATGTTTATATTACGAATAAATCAATGCAGGTGAGTCCGATCCGCCATTTTCTTGACCGTTGACAGAGAGCAATTTCAATATTTTATAAGTTTTTGACGATTTGGATAATATAAGGACCAGACAAATATTCTTTAGAACCTTCTGAACAAGTCCCTCAAATTTTTTTACATTCTGTTTAGAAATGAGGACGTAATTTGAAAACTCGCGTCTAGGGATTTCTCTAGGGACTGTCGGTAAAGTTTTCGACGCTCGCATCACCTTAAATTTAATGATGAAAAATTTGAAAACGATTTAAATGAAACTTTCGCATTTGTTCCTAAATTAACCTACTACGCCTAAATTACAAAATATACTCTTTTAAACTAATTATAAGTCTTTTTCTTAATATCTGTTTTAGAACTACAGTGCGAAAGAAAAGAAAACCATATTCTTGTTTACTAAGAAGATTCAGCGAGAAAAAAAGCATACAGTATGGGAGAAAGACGAGGTACCAAGGCACTAGAACTTTGGTGTCGACGAATAACGGAAGGTTATCCTGGTGTGAACGTGCAAAATATGACAACTTCCTGGAAAGATGGTTTGGCATTTTGCGCAATGATCCACCACTTCAGACCAGACCTCATGTAAGTAAAAAAATAGTAATTTTATAAATGTATGGTAAATATACTGTATATTTTAAAATTATAAGTACTAGTTATTTGAAATTAGATCAGTAGTCCATGAAAAAAACAAACACTTTAATGAACATAAGTTTCTAAAATATTGAATTTTGTAACGTCATTTATAGCATTTGTTAGTTCGAATGCCTTTTCCATAAAATGGAAAATATCCAGACAAGGACTCAAGCGACCCTAGGCACTATCGCTATCTGAAAATATAAACTAACTTTCTTACAAAGGAAATAACGCAAATTCAGGCGAAGAAAATGAGTTCCTAATACTCGAGCAGATTAGGAAATGCTGAACCGATGAGTTAGTAGCGCGCTTAAGGGGGTAGACACGGCACGTGACCATATGGTGCCACATCAAGATTGCTGAATCGTAGAAGGAAATTGATTCCTTACAGGCAAAGCCGTGAATAATTTCTACAAAATAAGAGTCAAGATATTTACGAATATGGAGAGGTCGTGTACAAGGCCGACAGTGTAGAGCAGGCGCGTCCAAAGTTGTCTTCTGAGAGATACAGGCCGTTTCTACCATCGTTCACTGTCACTCTAGGTAGGAAGATGTGGCTATACTGTGGAAACGTAAGACTGTCATGGTCGTCTCCTTAGTGTCGCTCGGTTTCCGTGGCGACAAAGACACGCTACGCAAAAGAACTCTTGAAGGGGAATTCAGCGTTAAGGAGGCCCCTACGCCAGACAGAGCTGCTGTTACTGAGGTTAAAACACCGCAGAAACAGAATCGCGTACTCCAATATTGTCATCAAACATATAATGCTAGTTGCTAGAGTATGAAAACAATGTCGTGACTCTATATGAAACCAAATCACTTAGACTCTAAGTGAGCAAGCCTGTTTAAACGATGTTCTGAAACCTCGAAGCGAACAAGTAGATTTGAATAGAGCTCACAAGATGAAAATAGACAGTTAAAAGAAAAGTGATAGTCTGATTAAGAACCTCAAGAACAAATATAATATCAAGGTGATAGTCATTAAAGCGATAACGATCTCCAATCGTGGCCTATGAAACTCATTCGGTGGGAGAGCTGTTAAGGGGAAGTGTTATTAAAACAGAGCAAGTTCAAAATTCTATTCACAAGAATTATGATATGTGGATTGAACGCATTTAGAATACTTAACGCCATCACCAACATGGCATGGAGATGAATGGGCGTGGGATAGGAAAAGTCATTTCACTATTAGATTGTGTCGCTTGCATTCAGGTACGCGGTTTCCAAGTTACGAAGCAAACAATATCACACATAAAGAAATATTAGGATGAAACGAAGACAAGCAATGGATACTGTCTGCTCGCCGCTAAGGCAGAGTGACATAATATGGGATGTGGAGGCAGGGAAGTTTCCACCATATTTGGTTGCCAAGCTGAGAAGCTATCTCAAGAAACGATGGCTGATCGTAGATACAAGGAAACGAGAAATAAAGAGTCGATGTTTACGGAGAGGTACCCCAGGTGTCAGTCTTGGGTTCGACCTTGAGAAACCTTGTCTACAATGAGGTTTTAAGATTAGATTAGAGTCAGGTGTACATATTATAAGATACATAGATGACATTGCCTTAATTATAATCGACAAATACGTTGAAGACATACTCATTGAAACTGAACTAGCGTTGCGAAAGGTAACTACAGGGCTTAAAGCAGGCCTGTCCAGTTAGTGCCTTGAAGGTTCGGGGCGCTACAGTGTGTCACGAGATAAGCCTGGCGGCAATGGTGACAGACATGATACCCTACCCGTGTATCCACTTCGAAATTTCTTTCTTCTCTTCTATTACTTTCTCTATTCAACTGAACACAAGTGGAGAGCTTCCCGAAGACATAAGTGTTAAACCTCGTACTCACTAAAGCATTCGTGCGCCGAAAGCATTTGTTCGGGCAAAAATGCTCAAGTGAGTACGAGGCTTTATACCATTAAACTTGTATTCGTTCTAATTAACGCCTGCTTAGGGCCTACGTGCCCGTACACCATCATACGCAGTGTAAATAAGACTCCGTGTGATCCTCTCGCTACGCTACCCGAAAGGAAGTACCGCCACAATAGAATGTAGAAGTCGACGTCCCATTTCTGTCATCGCTTACTTGACCCCTGCAGCGAAGACGGCTGTGTGCGTGAAAATGTGTGTAATGACCAGAAGGGTCCCATTTTCCTACTGATTAATATTATGTATTTAATGATTACAGCGACTTCGACAGTTTAGACAAGAATGATGTATACGGGAACAACGATTTGGCCTTCAAAATAGCGGAACAGCATCTTGGAATTCCGGCACTTCTAGATGCTGAAGACATGGCCTCTTGTTCTGTACCTGATCGATTGTCCATCCTTACTTATCTCTCACAGTTCTATCAAACATTCGGTGGTAAATATACGAAAATACATTTAAAATGACGAATTTTACAACATATTTGAAAATCATTGAAATCGGTGGGAGAGTACTTTTTCTACAAGTTCACCCGAAAGTCTACTGTACAATGAGATTCACAAAATAATGGATATAATGTAAAATGTTTCTATTGTTATTCACTGAACTCGTTTAAAATTGTTATATTGTACACTTTAAGTTGTTTTCTTACTTATCTGACTCCCCTTTCATTAAGTGTTATTTTCTTTATCTGAAAAAGATAAAATGTATACGCAGCTATATAAATACACTCCATTGTCAGTTTTTCTGTGTTACTTTTCGCATCAAAGTTGATGCAGTTGCGCCTTTAGTACAGTGTAGAGCACGGTAAGCTCGCCTAGGGAAAATAGATTTAAAAATATTAATTAAAAAATTTTAAAATTTAAATTCTGGAGTTTGGAAGTTTAAAAGTTCGACATCAAAATTTTGAAACTTAAAATTTGGTTTTGCACTTTTTAAATTATACAATTCTGAAATTTTTATATTTAATATTTGTAATTTTGGGATTCAATTTAAATTTTATATTATATAACTACAAATTATAATACTTTATTTCTAAATTATTTTTATTATTAATTTTGTCAAAATAAAGATTTTGATAATTCCTTCTTCCTCGGTAACACTATTTTCCCTAGGATAGCTTAATTTGATTTCGACGGTATGCATTTATTACAAGATTGTGAACCACTGATATATATAATAACAATTTAAGTTATTAATTTCATTAATCGAATCAATATACTTTCTTCTTCAGGTTCATCACCAAGTCGGCTGGCAGTAAACAGAACAACAGAAAGTACAGAGGAAAAGATTACTCCAATACCTGAATCTCCGAATGAAAAGGTACAGAAGTCTTTGTTGTATGGAACATAAAAAATTAATTATTGTTTTCGGTTTTTGTTTGCTTTTTAAGAATCTCATTATTAGTCTTTAACAGTCCGACAATAATGTTAATCTTTGAATGGCGGATAATACGAATAGACATTGGGGCAACAATGACCCGATTGTAAAATTTTTTTGTACATATTCTCAAGCAATTTTTTATATTAAGACTTACGTGTTATTAAACATTTTAACTATTTAAATTATACTAGTAGGTATATAATGATGGAAAAGAAAATTTATATTTATTGCATAATTCAATGATGATTACTTTCCTTCTAAGTACATTTGTGATGAAATCTAGCTTCTCCAGAAGAAATGTTGATATCCTCGGTGCTTGATCTTTCCCCCAGGCATCTCTTGGGAAAATGACAAGGTAGAGGACTATGTATAGGAGTGTACGCGTTTACATGGGAAAATTTGAATTGATATTCATTTATTATTCATATTTCTCAGTTGTATCCTAATTGTAAGTTTTATAATATATAATAATGACAAAGTATATTATTTTTTTCTAAATTACTTTTAAAATTAATATGGTCAAAATGAAGATTTTCGGAACTTTTGCTACCCCTATACCGCCATTGGCTCCGGGGAAGCATGATTTGATCACGGGTGTACATAGTTAGGTATGCATAGTTTCCGTCTGCACTGGCGTGATTAGGTAGGAGAATAAGTGGAACTCCACCCCTCCAGGTTTAGGCTCATTCCTCCGTTGTTTTAAAACTTTAACGATTAAAAATTTGAAAATTCCAAAATTATAAGATTGCAAATTTTAAAAATTTCGACATTTTTTAATTCTTAAATTCTAAACATTTAAATTTTCTCATAATATCTTATTTTAATAAAAATAATAAATATTCTAATCAAAATGCAATATGTAGTGCAACTAAGAACAAAACTACAATTGTAAATAAAAGAAATTAAACAATATTAGAATCAAGATAGAATTATACAATATTAAAAGCTCGATATTGTTACTAAAGGTAAAGTAACTGGTCCATCCTCGAAACAAATCCTAGTTACGCTAGTGTCCTTTCGAGCTATTACATAATTATTAGAATGTCACGCAGGTGTCGCAGTCTCAACTGACGAGGAAAAGACGAGATACGAATCAAGTTTTTCATTCAACTTTCACAGAGGGAAAGTACATTAAAAAAAATTATGTGTCTTTGCGATCTCGTTAATGGACCTTAGAGGTCTGACTTTTGCGGGTCTGCTAAGGTATTATCAAATTTTCAAGTAAGATCAAGTGTTCAGTAACAAAATGGTAACGCTCATAACACATAAAGTAATTATTAAAATTCTACAAAACACTAATTTGAATATTTTGAACTTTGAAATCCTGAAATTATAAAATTTTTAATAATTATAAAATTATTACCATTTCTCTATTCTAGGATTCTGCAATTTTGGAATTCTAGAAATTTAAAATTTTTAAATTTGCGTATTGTGGAGGTTTAGAATTCTAGAATTTTAATAACTTCAAAGCAGACAATTTCTTTTCGATGTACAATCCCTTCCAACCAGTGAAAGCTGACCGGAAAACACATATCCTTTTCTTGTTAATACAAAATAGATTTTAAAGGCTGTATGTATTAGCATCCGTCGTTCAAGGATTAAGTCTTAAGATTACCAGCTTATTTTAAGTTCGTTTTTGTACCAAATGCTACAATTTAATTTATAATATTTATTATATCATTTGTTTGCATTAATATTTTCACTTCACTGTTCAAAGAATAAAAAAACAGCGTTATACATTTAAGAACAGCTAGTTTGAATTGGAGATGCTGTTATCAGTTATATATCAATAAGTTACCAATACCTTATTGATATTTAACAATATTTTGCTTATAACATTAAGTATAAGAAGATTGCCTTAGGAAAAATGTTAGTATAGTTTTATCATTTAAATGTAACTATTCTTGTTCAAATTTCATACCTAATCTAATCTAACATAACCTAACCTAACCGCCTTTCGAACAAGAATAAATATATTTGAATAATAAAATTATATATTACATTATATATTAAATTTTAAGTATTTCAGTCACTGCCATTTGTCTTCATCTTTCGCAATATTTCTAAAATAAAAATTGTGCATCGTTAAAAGTAAGAAAACATTGGAACAGTTTTTGACATCCAAATTATTTAATTGAATTTTGCACAATACAGTATGTAACGTATATGTATGCTTACATTAATTTGGGAAAATAGTAAATGTGTTTGACAAAATTTTCTAGGAAACCCTGATTTGATCGTAAGTACCTATACATATTAACCCTCGGAAGGCGGAACCATGGAAACAGCCCCAATTTCAGTTTAATTTTGCATTTCATATGATTTTTATTCCTTAAATGTTCCTTTAAAATTTATTATTCCAATATATGAAACCCTCTCGTTTAAAAATTATACACTTAACTGTAGGTCATTACTTTCATATACGTTTTGTAAGTTTTTAATAATAGGCTCCGCTGTTCAAGGGTACATGTATATATGCCATTCACAATGAAAGGGTTAATAATATCTTAACAGTATTATAACACCATTGATAACAGTATCTCTAGTTAAATAAAAAGTAAAATTAAGTTTGCTTTTTTGTTTTCATTTTGTTTTTTGTTTGTATATATTTTATTAGAGTACAAACATCGTCAGCATAAGTTTTGTTATTAGAATTGAAGTAGTATGATGAAAATTAAAAATCATTCTCAGTGATAATGCGTTTCTTTTCAATTAAGTTTCATATTTATTTTGTTGATCTAACAAAAATTGAACATTTCATAATTAATCTTTCCTTCCTTTATATTAAAATTTTATTATACTTTGAAAATAATTATATATTTGAAAAGTGTATGAAATATCTGTATAAAGGCATACACAATTTTTTTTTTAAAAGAACTTGAATCCTCGCAAAATGTCATTCAAAAGAATTAATTCACCTGGAATCTTAGTTATCATTGGCGTAACTAGGAGGGAGCCAGGGTGGGCCTGGTCCCTCTCTCTTTTGCCATTTTTACTAAATTTCTGGTTAACCGTGTTCTGTCTCTTTAGTTGGGCGCCAAATGTAATGTTTATATATTTATATATACATATATATTTTTTATTATTATTATTATTATTATTATTAATACTATGGAATTGTACAAATGTACGTTCCAAAAACGTCCAAATTGATCTCGTTACCTCCTTTGGAGCGGGTCACTACCCCGACAATTCATCGATACAGCCGTATCAAATAACGAGTAACGGTATGAAGTAACAAGACACAGTTTACATTTGTTACCATGACTTGTTGGCTAGGTAACAGATCGCAATAACAATGCGAGGTGCGGTAACAAATGTGTATGTACGCAGATGAAGCTGTCGATGTAGCCATAGGGCAAAAATATCATTTGTTGCACCCTATCGTTGACAATAAAATGTTACCGTCTATGAAGTCTGTGTGCCGAATACTTTCGTAAAATGTTTAAATTCTGACGCAGAACTCGTCGACGACATAACTCTGTATATCAAAGAACGATAACAGGAACAAAATACATTACAAAAATTTTAGAAACTGAAAGATTAAATCGTCGTAAAAAACCATTTATTGCAATATCGAATACATGTTTAATAAAGGGGGTAGACGGTCTGCCATAAGACTTCTCTACAATTAACGAGGATGACCTAATGGTAATAAATCTTAAGTAAGGGTCCTAAGTATGTACTGAAGTATTACGACCCTACGAGGTAGGGAAGGAGTCGAAAATGGTCATCATTTTATAATGTAGCCCTGTGGGTGTCATATAGTTCGCAGCTCTGATCACGTGGCCTTAGGTCCGAAGAGTTAGTGACACGGTTTGTAAACCTTGAAGAGATATGCTTTCGTATGATATGCCACATGACCGGCTATCGGTAGCCGGTATCAATATTTACAACAAAATAATAATATTATAAAAATGAAAGTTCGCTGGCTACATATGAACGTTAAAAAGTATCAATATTATATACAATATGAATCTAACGTATGTGATTGTCCGAATGGCAACAGGACGGTAGGTTGTTGCTCCCATATAGCCGCGATCCTTTATTATTCATATCACGCACGTTACAAATCAAGAATCGTTGAATCTTCTACAATTTTACGTCAGCATTATTTCTTGAAAATTTTTTATTAACTTGTTATACATTTTAATTCTTGATTTTAAGGTCTGAAGCCCTTACTTGATGCCCTACTTGACGCCCTTGATTGTTTTCTTGAATTTGGATGTCTTAAGTACAATTTCTAAGTACGACCAGCATGTCGTTCCATGATTTTGCAGTTGAATTTGATAATGATTATGTGTTACACATTTGGATCCCCATCTTTTTCCAACAATTAGAAGCATTTTTCAAAATTTCTCCCTTTGTGCGATGGTGTTGGTGGTTAAATTATCCCTTCATGGATTGTCTTCCTTCTATTTATGATTGTTTTTTTATTGTACATCTAAAAGACGGTTGTAGCGGTATCTATTATTTATGAACGCAAACGAATTTATATGATTGTTTCATTCAATCAATCTATGGTGTATAATAAAATATAAAAAATACAGGATGTCCTGGAATTAGTGTACAATCGGGAAACTGCTGACCATTGGTGTAACTAGATAAGGTGGGTCTTACTTGAGGCCCATATTATAAAATTCAAAAATTGTAGAATTCCACGATTGAAAAATTTGGGAATGGCAAAACTCAAGATTTTTAAGCTTTCAAAATTTCTGAGATCCTGAGATCCTGAAATTCTAAAATCCTCTCGTGAAATCTTACTTCAATAGAAACAAATATTTCGTCTAAAATACAATATGTAATGTAACTAAAAACAAAACGTATTATAATGTTCTTATGACGTAAAACAAAATTAAAACTCTTGACACTATCGATAATACTAAAGGACTTGTCTCACCTCAGAAACAAATCATAATTGCATCAATGCTGTTGACTTTTCGTGTAAAAACATATCAAAAATTGAATTGCCATAAATTTAAATTATGAACGTAAAGAATCTGTAATCTGCAGATAGTATACTATTCTTAAGATACCCTGTGTACAAATATTGATTTAGCACATAGCTTAGAATTCACGAAGCGATTGATATTATATGTACAATAATATGAGTCGTGATGAAAGTTTCACTATACAGGAATCCTTAGAATTTTTAAGGCAAATATTGCACAAGAGTGTTATGTAAATATGTGCTAATAAACGCTTTACTAAAAACATATAACCGTAACATAAACTGACTGAAGTCATTGATTTTAATAAATTAATGTAACACCTATTTTATTTAAAAATTGTAGCAATTTTGTATTAAAACTGATATCATTGACAAAATAAAAGAGAATTAAATGAAAAAAATTAAAATATTGAATGATGCAGTACTCATGGATATTATTTGCAAAGCCTGTAATCGAAATAACTGCATGTTGTTTTTCTGTTTCTGTTCAAAACAAATGGTACGTTGGTATGAAGTTATTAATTAAAAGCCGCATGAAGGGATTTATTATACTAACAGAACATCTATGTTGTTATTATTAAGATTTTATATTAAAGCGTTTATTGGCGTATTATTCATATAACATTTTTTCCTTGCTTTTACTCATAGAATATAGTGATGCAACTTGACTGGAAAATCCTGGGTTATCCTGTATGTGAAATACCTCAAGAAAGGTGTACAAAGTACGACGAATAAGGAGGCACAAGAATTCATTTATTCGCAAGACATCCAAGCAAACGAGGCTGATAGAAGTCGGGAAGAAGGCTGATCAATTGATTGACGAGAAGAAGTACTCATTATACATGAAGATGATTCTCTACACAATTTGCAGTTTTTTATTGTATGAGATGATTGCGAAGTTGTAGGAACTATTTAAGAATTAGTGTAATTAGGTAGAGGGTTAAACCAATCTATCCAAAAATATGGATTGGTTTCGTCATTCCAAAGCTCTGAAATTTTGAAATCCTAAAAATTATTTCAGAGTTTTTTAATTTAAACATTCCAGAATTTCAGAATACTAAGATTCCAAAACGCCAAAACCCTAGAAATTCAAAATTTGAGAATCTGGACATCAGCATTTCCTCTTGGGAAGTTTGATTTGATCGCGAGTATGCTATGCTTTAAAACAATCCATGCAAAGTGGTTTAACCATTTAATGCTAAGGTTTTTCTAAAACAATAGGTCAACAAATTATCAGGTTTCTTTATTTTTGAAGGTGAGACTTTTCTACAGTAATAAAGAAGGAGTTTACGTTTTTCTTTTTTTTACTTAAACCAGTTTAAACTGGATGAGTATCATTCGAATTAGCGGGGAAAAATCCTCGTTCTAGCGTCTTAAATGGTTTTAAGTTCAATACGCATTTTATGTTTAGTATTTAATACTTTTAGCCCTTAACTACGCTGGCGAATTTTTACCTATACAACTACACCTGCGGGGTACTTTTGTACCCTGACTTTTGATAAGAGTTTTAATTAAAATGAAATGTAAAAAGTTCATACTTTTTGCTTTGGTATAATAACTAAACATTCTAAATTTGTCAAATAATCATTTATTGGAAATATAAATTAGTAAAAACATGAGATGTACCAAGCGAGAAATATTTGCGTAACTGTGTACAGACAGGGTACGCTTGTACCCAACACGTGTAATTAACAGTTAAACTAGATTTCTTAAACAGTGTATAATATAACGAAAGACAAAAAGATCGCTACACAGTACTGTATTAATATTAATGAAAAGCTAACAACACGAGCTAAGAATAAAAAATATGATTTATTTATAAACCATGCTTTTTGCTTTTTGCTTTTTTGAGTGTGAGATTGAAGTGTGTATTCGTATTTCCAATCGTATTCAAGTTTCGAAATTTCCGAAATCAAGTTTCAAAATTTTAATATCAGGATTTCAAAATTTAAATGTTTGACAACTTAGATCTCAAGTTTAGCTGAAACTGTATTCAAAGGTACAACGCACATACTTCAATGTGTGACTGTACACTTCGCTTTCGCCTTACTGTTAGACTATGAATGTGTTGATGTTAATACATATTAGTTTTTCACGCCTGAAATCACCATCTCCTCGTTTCTATTGCTTCTTATAAAATACTATATATAATATTATGTAAGCTCATCCCATAAATAATGTCGTTTTCTTAATCAATCAATGTAAGTTTCGACTTTTATTTACAAATATGAGCGATGTTATTGTTATTGCTATCGTACTGTAAGAATAGCCTCTTTCAATATGTAACGATGTCAAGATAAGATCCGTCAAGTCGAAACTTACGGTAAGTACAAATGTATCGGATAGATTTTCAAAGTTGTTTTTCTCGAAAACGGAGCCTCATATGTGAAAACCTTACTTTACATTTTTGACGTATTTTTTTTTTACAAAGAATTATGCCATGCTCAGCTGTAACATTGTTGCTGGAACACTCTGTATATAGAGTGGTCCAAAATTTATGGTAGAGATGGGGTCAGGATGATTCTATGGCTCGAAATAAGGTGAATTTGTAGAAAAGACGCTCCTCTCCCGATTTCGATGATTTTTGAATATATCTATTGCAAAATGCGATATTTTAAGCAACTATTTTTCTCTAATCTAAATGTCGAATTCGCTTAGTTTCCATGATGTTCGCAAAAAACTGAATACTACTATAATACATTAATTTTTGTCTGTACGTATACGTCCGTGGTCGAGGGTACATTAGCAATCAACCCTCGCTTATTTACTGTTTCTGTCAACAGTACCACATGGTCCGGCTGCCATTCATATAAGGGGTGAGCTTAAAAATCAAACTTAACTGATTTCAATAATTTTGAATTTTGATTTGCGTGGCCGGTCACCAACTCGGAGGTTGCCGAGCTCATCAATACCGCTGTTTACAGAAACAGTGAGTAAGCAACGATAGCATACACTACTACGGACGCATACCACTGTAGTGGTAGCGATATTTTTTTGTGAATATCTCACAAACCAATAGAGTCCAACATATAGCTTATTGTTAGAGGAAAAAAGTTGCTTAAAATATCGAATTTTACAACATATTTAAAAATCATCGAAATCGGAGGGGACTAGCTTTTCTACAAGTTCACCCTATTTTTAGACATTGAACGTAATAAAATAACCATTGTACTCTTAGTTGATCTTAATTTATTATCTATTTGTTTAGTTTACATTTCTTAAACAAGATATTGTTCAAAATGTTGCCAATTTTTTTGTACAGAGTTGTAGTCTTCCAACTATTTGTTTGCTTGTTGTACTAATATTCAAGTACTAATATGATACGTCGTTTTAAATGTTCAAGACTTGCAATATCTTCAGAATAAACTATTCTTTTTACGTTTCCCCACAGATAAAAATCGAGAAAATAATAAACACTAATCCGTAACATCGGTTGTTAATTAAATAGTCGCGCACTTAAACTGATTTTCAAATGCATCTTTCTCGATAATAAACCCCCCACGTAATGCTCGTAATTCTCCCCCGTAAAATTCTTAATTTTCGTCTTATTGTTAATTTGAACCATAGAATCAGCCTAACCCCATTTGTACCATGAATTTTGGACCACCCTGTATATACGATTTAACTTTATGCATTTGATCATGTATCTAACTGCAAGTATTACTTACTGTCTGATTTTTATTTAAACATTCAAATTGGATAATACTTTATTTAATAGAAAATGTAAATGATGACATTAATTATGGGATGATCTAATACCATTAGTACACATACTTAATTTCTACTATTAACAATGATATAGGCAGCGTTGGGTCTGGGTATGCGGAGGGATCCGTGTGCCGTATGTGGACTTCCGGTTTTCCTAGCGGAAAAACTGGTACTCGGCCGTGTCGCTTATCACCGTACTTGTTTCCGTTGTGCTCGATGCAACAATCAATTAACGCTTGGTAATTACTACGAGACGGAGAAAGGACAGTATTGCTGTGAAACGTGCCCTGACGAAGAACCTCCATCGCCTACAATGCAAAATTATACAATGCCTAATAGAAATGAAGTAGATGGGGTTGAAGACGCAAGTTCAAATGGATCCTACAGCAATGAAGATAACGCAAACGCACAAACATTCGATGATTCTTTGAAACAGTCCGAGCTCGATGATTTTTCCGTTCCTGATATTATTGCGCAAACGTCTCGATTAAGATTGAATTTCATTTCGAATCATCTACTTTCAGATCAAGGTGAGAATATGTTTTAATTATAGATTAATCAAATAGTATACATAGAATAGTGATGAGTGCATCAAATGCCCGCTCATGGGCACTAACGAACTCGGTGCGTGCAGAAGTGAGCTTATGAAATTTAGAAATATAAAAAAGTTGCCAAATTTTCTAACATAAAAGCTGAAAAATTGAAAATTTAGAAATATAGAAATTTCAAATTTGGAAATTTGGAAATATAGGGATATAGAAATTTCAAAATTGGAAACTTTAAAAGTTTAGAAAATGACATATTTAGGAACAGAATTTTTAAATTCAAGTTTTAAATTTTGAAATTTCGAAACCCTGAAATTTGAATTTTGAAACCTTACAATTTAATTTACATATTAAATTCTATAATATTGATCATTTAATTGAAAAGTATTAATAGTAAAACAAATATTAAATAACATTTTCCTGTGTAAATGTAGCGTAAAGAGATGAGGTTCCTTTATTACATACCTCATAACGAGTAAAATACGTAATGTCAAAACAAAAACTTTGACCTCCAATTTTGATTTCAATTTATTTTCTGTCTCCTTCAATACAATTTGAAGAATCATCTCTATCTCTAAGAATCACGCAGTCTTAGAGACATACTTCACATAAAAACCCAAATAATTTAAACAAATATTTTTTTGTACATTTTCAAGCAGATACTGCAGACAATGTAGACTCTATGCTGCCAATGAATGATCAGCAAGGAAAAGAAAGTAGATCTTCAACTCCTAGAAGAAATGAAGATCATTGTTCATTCGATGGTGAAGGTAGCAGTAACGATTTTCATTCTGCACAATTAGAACCGTCCAGTAGAAACCAAAGATTTTCTGACGATGAAGATTCCAACACAAACTGTTCAAAAAATTTTACTCATCAAGAGGAACCAAGTACTTCTAAAACCAATATTGAAGAACAGTTGACAGACAAAACTGTTAAGAGTGATTCTACAAATTGCCTTTCCTTAGTTCAAGCGAGACTCAGATTATTTGAAAATCCAAAAGACTCCTTTGAGAAAAGTAATGAAGTACCAAAATGCAAAGCACAATATAAAAAGCACAATGTAAAAAAAGAAGACTCTAAAGATTCAGAAATTGTATCAAAAGTTTCAACAACTCCTGTCAATGATACTTTAATGACTACACCTGAAATCAATGAAATGATTGTTTTAGAAAGCGACAAGATGATTCATTCTCAAATTAATAGTGAAAAGCATATATCCACCATTGATGTAAGTGAAACTGATTCCACAACGAAATCTTCTATTGTTGCTGAGAAAGATTATCCAGAAAGTCTAAATCCTTTTAAAAGTGATGAAGAAGAAAATACTGATACGGATTCAATAATAAATATTTCTGAAAGTAACAGAAGTTCTACAAATCCTTTTGAAAATAAAGAGGAAAAGAAGAAGGAACTTGTTATACCAAAACCAGCTGTAAGAAGTAATATTGATAATAATATTGTAAAGTCTCAAACTCTTGAAGAAGTATCAACGAAAAGACGTCTGATTGCTCCTCAAATTAATTTAAATCCCTTTTGGAGTGACGATGATGAGCAGGAGAGTGATTCGGAGAATAAAATAAAAGTACCGGAAACAAAGCCTGTTCCTAAACCACGTACAACAAGGTATAAGTGTATTAATCTAACTGGTGTAACTAGGTAGGGGATAAGGCAGTTTTATTGTTAGCATCCCAAAAATGTAGAATGGAATCCATTAGATTCTAAAAATCTACAGTTTTGAAATTGAAAAATTATAGGATTATATAATTCTATGGTTTTAAAATTTTGTAATTCTTAAATTAGAACACTCTCCTGTATAATGTATTTAATAGTTTCAAATAAATTGCTTAATTTACAGAAACATCCAAGAACCAGAAGTAAACGGATCGAAGTCTGATCAGAATTACAATAGTTTGAACGTATCTAATAGTTCCCTGGCCAGTTTGGAATCACCAAGTAGTTTAGGAACAACTTGTCGAAAAAAGAAACCAGCTCCATTACCACCTAACAAAAAAGAGCGCTCTCCTGATCAACATATGCCTCAGGTATGCGAACTACGTATTAATTCTATTAACTCTTGGACTGCGGACCATAAAGAGAATCCCAATTTTAATTTATTTTATATTTCATATTATTTTCATTTTCTAAACTTTACATTGTAATTAAGTTTTTTGGGGGGATTAGATATTTTAGATTTACTGACAGTATCGAGTTACTCGATAGTGAGTATAGAAATGTCTGATTTTTTTCAGAATTTTTGAATGTCATTAAATAGGAGAAATTGGCCAAAAACCTAGCGATTACATTTTTACCCGTAACTACTCTGCCAGATGAGATACAGGGTTGAAACTTGGCATAGACTAGTTTTTTTTATCACCTATCGAATGGTTCATAGCAAGTCGAATTTGGTTTGGGGACAATTTTGACCATTTTACCCAGCTATACCCTTGATAAATTTTGGATTTATTATAGCTTACAATCTTACAATTCTACAATCTCAAAGTTTTAGAATGATGAGAGGGCTTATTCTCAGTTTCGGTTATGCCAGTTAACCATTCGGTTGTCCCACTCTTGCACCTACTTACAATTAGTTACACCAATATTTATACAGTTATACAATAAACTCAAATTTATTATTCAATGTAAAATTTAATGAAAGTTCTAAAATGTTTAATATTTTAATTTCAGACTTCGTCGCCAATTGTACTAACCAAGGCACGAAAAACAAAACCAGCCCCACCTCCACCAATGCAAACAAGTAGTCCGTGTAATACAAGCACTGCCACTGTGTTAAGTTGTGAAGAATCACCCATCAGTAAATCAAAAAACGCCACGGAAAGGATTAATGTGTGGGAGGATGAAAAGATTAGTAAAGATGTGGCGAATAGAAACAGGCAAAGTTTCTCTCACACTCCATCTAAGGAGGGATTCTATGATAGATCTTTCATGGACAAAAGCACTGAAGGAAAATGGAAAAGGAAAAAAGGACCTGCTCCACCTTGTCCAATGCCATTAAAGAGGAAGGTAAATTTTGATTTGTTTCTAAAATTTTGGGAATTTTGGATTTTTGAATTTTTAAAAGCCAAAATTTTGAAATGTTTTAAATCTTCAATTCTGATATTCTAGTATTTTAAATTTGTGGAATTCTGAAATTTTTAAGATCTAAAATTTTGGAATTGTGGAATGTTAAAATTTTGTATTGGTAAGGGGACCAGTTCACATTTTTGAAAGAGCCAGGCTGACCTTGCTCCTTGTGACGGATTACCGCTGGGGGTTTGCCGGCTCAGCCGGTAAGTCCGGGGTTCAGGTGAACGAATGAAGCAAAGTCGGTTGGATATAGATGAAAAGAATACGTATTTAATTCTAAGATAGAATCTAACTTAAAACTACGGCCCTCGGTGTCCTATTAGTCTAACGATCTTACAGCTAGCGGCGGTTCTTAAAATTAAGGGTAGCGAGCGGTTGCGGCGCGGTTCTTAGAACTAACGGTGTCGAGCGAGCGCGGCACGGGTGATCGCGGTACGGCGTGGTCCGGTCGCGGTGTCGAGCAGCCACGGTACGGTTCGATCACGGTGCGGAGCGGCGGGAAAATTCCAGGGATTCCACAACCCGTTCTCACTCAGGCAGCAAGAAGACCGTGGACCTGGTGGACGTCCGTAGACACATGTACGCCCGGTCCGGCAGTCGGGAGACCGCCGAGAGAGTTCTCGGCAGTGGCCGGAGATACAGCGGACAGTGCCACCAGACGAACGCCGCTGGACGAAAAATCGTAGCTGATCGTGTTTCGTATTGCTTATCCGAGGATTCGCTTCCGAGTACCGATCTAGCTTCTATCGTCTCGCGGCCCAGTATATCTTCGCTCGCGAGGCCGTTCGCCTCGCGAGTTCGCGGTGCGCGCGGTCGCCTCCTGTCGGCGGCGCGGGTACTAGCGGCGCGCGTGCCGGCGGGGCCCGCGGTTTCGCGGCCTCGTACTCCTCACATCCTTACCTAGTTAAGCTACTGGAAACATCAAGAGATAATTTAATATTTATAAACTATATATTTTAGATAAAAGTAATGTCTCTGAAGGATGTCAAATTGGAATTGGATGAAATAGAGGTGCAACAACAGGGCTTGGAGAAACAAGGTGTGCGACTGGAGCAACTAATTAGAAGTAAATGTGAATCTGATTCTAAACCTGACGGTAAGTACAATTTAAATTATAAAAATACACGTATTCTACATTTTTGTTTCTAAAATTCTTTGATTACACATTGCACTACAAAGAAGTCGTTGCACAGAAATATAACATTACAATTTTCAGATGTTTCTCTTGGAACAGATGTAGAAGAGTTAGTTCTAGAATTATTCGCTTTAGTAAATGAGAAGAACGAGCTATTCAGGCGGCAAGCTGAATTAATGTTGCTTCGAAGACAGCAGAGATTAGAAGAAGAACATGCTGAAGTAGAATACCAAATTCGCTGCTTAATGTCACAACAAGAATCTATGAAAACTGACTTTGATAAGCAAAGAGAAGAAGCATTAATAAAAAGGTATGTCAGTTTAAGGATATTTAATAAGAAATAGCTATTAAAATTGCATTTTAACATTTACACATCAAATTCAGGATCTTGTTAACCCATTATAAGAGACATGTTCATAAAATTGCTCTACAGACGCCGAGGTGCAGGCGGACCCGTTGCTTTGCCAACGGACAATTTCGGCCCCCTGTTGGGCAATTTTATGTGCATACCTGACATACTAAGTTAAAATGACCTTATATTCATCGTAATATATCATATTTATATATAATAATCATTGTTATCATTTTAATAGCCAAATAAGATAATTTAATAAATAGATATGTGTAAATAACAGAACATTATTTTTAATAGACTAGTAGAAATTGTTGAAAGAAGGAACGAAATAGTGGACTGCTTAGAAATGGATCGTCGTAGAGAAATAGAAGAGGATAAAAGTATACATAAACATATGGATTTATTTGCTGGTAAATTAAACATTTGATATTAATTGGGTGCCTATTATTTAATTGAAGTCAGAGTAACTTCAATTATCGTTATCGTATTCTTGCGTCACTTATCAAATCCACAGAAACGCAGGAAAATATTCAGATTCAAAATAACATTAAAAAAGCGTAACTTTAAAGCCGCCTAATATTAATATTCCTTAATGTATAAAGAACTATTATATTTATCCATAATTTATCTATTATTCCACAGTTAAAAATAAAAACGAAATATTAAATAGAGATTCAGGACATTCCCGAAAAACAAAAGCCAAGGAAAATAAGTCGAAGGACAAAACGAAGGAAAAGAAATTCAAGAAAATACTTAAGAAAGATATTGACAAGGATATTGATGAAATTGAGTTAAAACTTAAACGCCATAATAAACGAAAGTGGTTTTAGATTATAATAATTATACACTTACACGAATCCTGCCGTTTTTGTATAATTTGTACAGTGTTTTACTTGTACTATATATCTCGAATAAGTTACGTTCATAGAGATATAGGAATACAGCTAAACAGCCGTGTAGCAGTAAAAAGAGAACTAATTTATATTTTATTAAGAAAACGCAACTTTCTGCTGTATATTTTAAACTTAGCGATTTTGTATGCTATTATCATACTGGTTGACAATCCAGTATGTAGAATTTTGGAAATGGCATGTTATTTGTTATACTGAAATTCGTGTGCAGGAACACACCTTAAATCCTTGCATCATAACATTTATATAGCGCTTATAGCCATGTACTGTATTCTTATATCTCTGTGATTATATTCAAAGGTTTTCTATATATAAAAATTATTCCTACATGGTACTATTAAAATGGATAATAATGTTTTTCAACGTTATATTTATATATAAAAAATGTTTATTAAATACCTTTTTGTAACAGATCTATATGTATTTTTCACACGTGACATTATACATATTCATCGTAAAGTAATGTCCCTAATATTTTGTAATAATTGTGATAGTCTCAAAATAATAACAGTTTATGTTTAAAGACTTTCATTAATTATATGCAAATGAATCTTTAATAGAGAGAATACGATACTGTTAAGGGCCAGTTCCTAATCACTCATGAGTAACTATCGCACTTTTGTTAACGTCTAAATGGAAAAATTAATCAAATCTACAGGACTTTTTATTATTCGACTAAATTTATATTTTATTTTAAAAATTTTATATTTTATATTTAGAAATGTACAATAATAATTAACTTATAATTTAACTTTCAAAGTAAAAAATGTAAAAATGATACACTTAAATTATTCAAAAATAATTGAAAAAAAGTAGTACCTAACTAATCTTCCAAAATAGTAATTGTATAATGTTTGGAATAAATTTTTAAGATATTGCACATGAGGTTCGAACTGAAGTTTGTTGTGAATGTGTACCCCAAGAAACTTAGCCTGTTTCTGATTTGTGACTGACAACGAGTCCAATCCGATTCTTCATGTGCCCATGGAGGGCAGAGCTTGTCAATTGCCAGTTTCCTTGCCTTTTGCTGCACGTCTGTCGGTGACTGAGCTGTACCAGAATTGATCCATTTGGATTTAAACGCTTTTACCTTTTTCCAGGAATAACTTACATTTGAGTGTAAGTTTAGAGCAGCCGCGAAGTTCCTGAATGCCCCCTTTTTTTCTTCTTTAGAAGTTTTTTCGTTTGAGCGCATTTTTTTCTGTACGCATACTAATTAACTACTTTATACGTACGTCTTACGACGTCTAATGGCTCTGGTGAATCCTGAGTCCCACCAAGGAGCTGGCTTATGTTGCCTGGCATTGTATGTGATGCACGTGGGAGTGCGAGGTGTAGTTGCGTCCAAGCATTTCCTCATTTTCTGTGTGAAAACTTGGTATTTGTTTTCCCAGGGAGAATTTGAGAATTCTTTGGACAGAAAGTATTCCCATTACATGTCTAGTGCATGTCTGTACTCTTCCCAGTTAGTTCTACCTGTGGACAATTTATTCACCCTGCGTACTGCCCCGCGAAGAGTGTGACGGCCGACCGAGGTCGAGCCGCGAGCCCCCATCGAGTGTAAAGACCCCCTTATTTTCTCCTTTTCCCATCGCCACGCGAACATGGCTGGTGCCTAACGAGAATTAACGATCATTATATAGAGTGCACCCCCGCAAAAGGGACACAATACATATATTAAAATAATTAGCATATCAGAAATGATTGCTTCATTTGAAATTAAAAAATTTATAATAGTTAAATTTTGTTTTATTCGAATTAAAGTAAATGTTAACTGGAAACAATTTATGACCTATATAAAAATATATAAAGGATGCTACACCTTATAATTATTTATAGTTAATTAAGTACAATAACTTTGTTTTCTTCACATTTGAAATTTGTATTAAAAACGCTTAAAAAATTTTGTTTCACGATAAAATTAGAATCTTTGTACAGCTATAATATCCAATTTAGGTGGCATAACTACGAATCCTTCTGTACCCTGAAGTCGTGGTTTAGGATGATTTTGGGGTAACTTAAAATGAAGTCTCTGTAGTAAACATGCCACAAAAAGATAGGTTGTCTGTTTTGCCACAGTTTCACCCAAACATTTTCTACGACCTGTAATAAAATAAAGAAACGTTATAAAAATAATCTTGAAAATGGTCTTTAAAAAAATATCCTCATTTTTGTAAGCTATATTGAAACTTCTTTTATTGTTTACATGAATGCAAATTATTAAAAGCTTTATCTTTAATGCTTTATTCGATACAACATTCAGAGTGGTTAACAATAAAATAAAATTTGATCATTTAATCAAAAAGGTACTTCATCAAAATGTCACTTCTTTCTATTCATTGAACCTTTTTTCATTGGTAATGAAAATAAAATTACCTAATCCGAAAGGCATAAGCCAAGAATCTTCCACAAATTGTCCTTTCGAATCTATGAATCTCTCTGGACGAAATACTTCCGAATCTCCCCAGTGTTCTTTATCCATATGAACACTTTTTAAATTCGCTAATAAAGTATAATTCTTTTTTATTTCAAATCCCAATAAATTCGAATCAATTATTGCTCGGTGCGGAATAGAAGTTGGACCGATGTTTGCTAATCTCCATACTTCTGATAGAATAGCTTTCAAGTATGGTAAACTGGAAATTAAAAGCAAATAATAATAAATATTTAAATTTTGGTATGTTTTAAAAGGTATACAAATTTAAACCTTCGTATTCATTTACAATATAAATATTATCTTACCGATTGCAATCGTTCAAAGAAGGATAAGTATCCCTACCGATAACTCTATCGATCTCTTCGTGCATCTTCATTTGCACATCTTGATGTACTATAAGAAATGCTATCACGAAACCAATTGTATTGTCAGTCGTGTCTACTCCAGCGGTAAATAAATCTTTTACAACATATGCTAATTGATTTTCTATAAAAGAAAGTGTTTATATTAGCAGCTGTACAGTGTATAGTGTAGTATAGATCCAAGACAATTAAGAAGTGTAAGATGGACTTTGCATTTTGGGTAAATCTACCCAAGGGGCCTGAACATGTTAAGAATAAGTTCTGTTTGAGATAACATACTTTAAAAAAAAAAAATGGATATAATAAATTAAGGAAAATTTATATAAATTACCATTGAAAAATGAGGAGGATGAACTTGTTTTACGAGTTTCTATTTCTTGCAAATAAGCGTCTATAAAATTTGTACACTCGTGTTTCGTTTCATTCATCGTTTCTTTGTGTTTCGATATTATGTTCTGTAAATGTAATCGTACATATTAACATACAGTTAAAATATGAAAAATTTAAATTGAATTATTCCAAATTTGTTGAGAAAAGAATTGCATATTTAAAATTGCAATTTTAAACAAAATTTATCAATGTAGATTAAACAAATATACCTATATGTGATCCGTGAAACATACCATAAAGAAACTATTTATACGACTTTGACGTTCTGCGAACACTGAGAATCCTGTCAAATGTGGGAATAGGTATCTCAAGAAAGGGAATTGATTTAAAATACCACCCATTACATTTGAACTACTAGTAAGATCTTTTAATATGTTTATAGCTTCCTTCAGCATCGGACTTTCCATACCTACGTCGAATCTAAACATTGGAAAATACAAAGTCCTTCGAAAGGAATGTTAACACTATTGGATTAACTAGGATATTTAAGTGGAATGAGCCAAGTTCCCTTAGCATTATTAACCCTTATCACTCCAAGAATATTACAGAGTGATTTAAGATTGGCAGTATTACTGCCAGTTTGAATGATAAGGATTAACGGTGTCCTGTAATAAGATTTTCAAATAATATCCCATAAGCGATAATATTAAATGATAGGGAGAGTTCCCCTAATACCGGACAGCACCTAGTATCGGACATTAGCTATATCTAAAAGAACTGAAATGTGACAAAATTGTTTCATCCGTCAAAACAAAGGAGAGAATAAAACAAACGTTTGATGGTTGAAACAATTTTGTCACATTTCAGTTCTTTTAGATATAGCTAATGTCCGATACTAGGTACCGTCCGGTATTAGGGGAACTCCCCCTATTAAATTTTTCATATTTTAAAATTGGCCATTAGGTACGGCAAAATCTAATAAATATATTTTCTTGTTTCGTTTTAAGTGCATACTTTGTACCGTCAATAAGGAGCCACAGATTACTCAAAACAGCTGCGCTAATGATAGATTGTATGCTTGTAGGTTTTCCTGTTTTTGTTAATTCAGTCACTATGTTAGTTAACATAATTGCATCCTCTTGGAGCACGTGTTCCATTATTTGTTTACCAAAACCAAATACCTTCAGAGTTTTTAGCGTAAACCTGTCGAATATACACCGAATTTTGTAATATTTAATAATTTTCCCTCGGAATGTCTACTTTGCTCGATAGTGTGTGCAATAGAATAATATATGAGTGTACCTTCTTTGACTATGCCAAACATTTGTATCGGTGAACAACAATCCCTGCCTCGTACCACCGCTCCTATATTTAAATAAAAATCCATTTGGTCTTCCATCGAATTCCGAACGATGTAGCATCTCGGTAATAGCAGCCTTTCCAGAGACTATAATTAACGGTTCGTCGAACCCTAATCTGAGACCAACAACCGGCCCATACATCTCGTATAATCGGCACCAGACATTCGAATAACATTTCGCCTCTTTTACCAATTTAACGATATTCAATATATTTCCAATAATCGGTAAACCTCGTGGACCTTAAATATAGTATGTACTTTCATTATAGTAGAAGACCAAAAGTAACCCATAAATGGTATAAAAAAAAGTTAAGGTGAACAAATATTTAAAATATTGAAATATTTTTGGTAGTTGCCTAATTTATTTGCAAAAGAAAAAAATATAAAAAGTTAAAATTTGGTATAATTTTATGATACCTGGAGGAAATTTCACTGAGCGATTGTAATTCAATAATATTTTCAAAATTACCACTGTCAAAAGACACAAAACACCAAACCACATTTTTTGAGGAAATAATTTTTTGCTATTAACACTGAAATAATTGTAACGTTATTCTATTAAAATATGCTTTGTTTCTAATGATGAATTTATGAAGTATCGAACAATTTATTTTCACTATTAAAAGACAATGCAATTATTCATTAATTAGAAATATTCATAGAATTTTTGGGATTCAACATTCACTAATTATAATTTGCACTGATTTTATATTGATTTTAATTACAATTTCGAAGTTATACACTAAAGATGAGTAGACAGAAGAGTTATGTGCTTCACTGTTCAAAGGTACAAGGCAAAAAACTCCACCGGACTTTTTGGATCGCATTATATGTAGAAATAAAACCTTTCACCAATTGCATTGGCTACGAACTTACATGTTCAAGGTTTTAAAATCTTCAAGAATGGCTATAGGTGGCCCAAAATTGTGTAATGTCTGCAGCATTACGTACATGTACTTATTGGTAACCAGTTATTACAAAACCATGGTGATCGAATGGGGACACACAGGCACTGTATGCAATTTTATTTCATCATACGTACTTTAAATAGTTATTAATATTAGATGCACTCTTTAATTCAAAAATTATTTTTAAAAGATTATAGTAATTTCAGTTTAAATAATTTTTGTCAGTATCATAAGTTCGCGCTAATTTTCAAATATATAAAAACGCGGGAATATATAGACACTGTATGTATAAAATTTTAATCTATGCAATGCACTTTAGATTATGATTATTAATATCTAAATTT